TCTAGTACTTCTTGATTCAACTGCGTTATTTCTGGGACTCATAGTTCATACTACAGTTCAAATAATTCGAAATACCAAACTTACTTACGCCTGTTGCCCCTAGTGGATGAACATAAGCCACCTAATAATGTACTCCATCCGCCTCTGTGCCTAACAATCCCTTCCAGTTGTTTCCAGTTGCTATTCATCCCTTTCATATCTCCTTCCAATTCTCGACCTAATGTGTTATTTAGTCTTACTCCTTTTCGTTTCCCCTCAGGATTCCGAGTTAACGCTTGCCTCATGACGCAGTTTGATGATTTCCTCGATGTGTGTCCTATCCACCTCCAATGCCTTTTACTAATTCCCTCATCAGCTGGAAGCTTGTATGTTCTCTCTCACAATAGGCTGTTGCTGATGGTATCTGGTCGATGGATGTTGAGTATCTTGAGTAGATAACTGTTTATAAATACTTGTAACCTTTCGATGGTCGTTGTGGTAGTTCTCCAAGTTTCAGCTCCATACAGTGGAACTGTCTTGACGTTCGCATTGAAGATTGTGACTTTGATATTGGTTGACAATTATTTGGAGTTCCATATGTTCTTCAACTGTAGGAATGCCGCCATCGCTTTACCAATCCTTGCCTTTACGTTCGAATCCGATCATCCTTGTTCATCGATGATCCTTTCCAGGTAGGTGAAGGATCCTACATCTTCCAGAGTTTCTCCACCAAGTGTAATTGTGTTGGTGTTCTGTGCGCTGTATTTGATGGTTTTACTTTTTCTTTTGTATACGTTGGGGCCTATTGATGTAGAGCCTTTTGTCACGCTGTTTGTCTTCACCTGCATTTGTTGCTGTGTAAGGGGTAGAACGTCAGGCCGAATCACCTGTGAAGTGCAAATCATAAATTTGCATCCAAACTGTCCAGTTCATTCCATTTTTTCCTTGAGATGGCGAGGTTTTTATAATTCAGGGTGAGAGTAAGCAAACTTGTCTAACTCCAGTCTTCGCTTGGAATGTGTCTGTGGGCTGTCCTCCTTACACGACATTGCAGTGTATTCCGTCTCACGAATTCCCTATGATGTTGAAAATCTTCTCAGGTACACCATAGAGTCGAAAAATGCTGCATAAAATCCTTCTGTTCACACTGTTTAATGCTTTCTCATAGTCAAGGAAGTTGGTGTATACTGACAAGTTTCATTCAACCGATTGCTGAAAGATAATCCGTAGTGTCGTGATTTGGTTTGTTCACGGTCGATCCTTATGGAATCCGGTCTGCTGATCCCCATGTTGTGCGTCTACTGAATCTTACATTCCGTTTAACAATACCTTATTGCAAACTTTTCGTGGTAATGATCGTAATGCGATGCCCCTGTAGTTTTCACACTTGCCCATATATCATTTCTTCGATATTTTGACCAGGTATCCTTCTTTACAGTCCGTCAGTATTTGTTCTTACTCAAAAATCTTTCCGAATAGAGCGTGGAACATCTTCACAGCTACTTCAATATCTGACTTCCGTTCTTCAGTTGTTAAAATTTCCGACCTTTTTGTTTTCTCACTCTTGAATTCTCTGGTGGCCACATCAATCTATTCGACCGTTGGTGGGGTGAAAGCTCTTATTAGATCTGTAGGTGCTACTTTGGTGTCCGGTGGATTTAATGAAACTGACCTATCTAACAGTTCTTAAAGTGCTCTACCTACCTATTTCGCCGCTCTCAATTCACAGTCATCTTTGTTCTTGAATGGTCACCCCTTCACCATACATCTTTGCTAGGGTCTTCGTTTTATCATAGAGTTGTTTCATATTCCTTCCTCTTGCAGCTTTTTAGGCTATCGTTACTACCTCTTCCATATATTTTTGTCTCTCAGCTCTAATGCCTGTCTTCACTCTCTGGTTTGATTCTGCGTGTTCAGTTTGTGCATTAATTTTCTCCGTCCTTATTCGACTGTTATTGAGTGTTGTCTTCTTGTCCTTGTTTCCTAGAGTCTTTTCTAGGGTTCCCATAGAGATCCATTCCGTATGATGATGCTGCTCACAACCTCTTAGCATGTTGAAAATAGTGGTTCTTTCATCCCTTTACATTCGTCCTCCTTAGTAATTTCTTCTCCTTTCAGTAGATCCTGTCAGCTCCTCTCCTGATTCTCATGTCTTCAATATGATCTTGATGGAGTTTTGTTCTCTGAACTGGATCGTTTAGTCTTGGAGCTGTAGTGGCATTGGACGATAACCACACAATCCACAAAGCTGTGAACACGAGACTACTCAGAAAATAGATATTCAATATTTAACGCGGAGAAATACCTAACAATGGAGAAGGCGCGAAGAATGAATTGAATGGACTGGAGTGGATCGAGTGGCATGGCTCGGCCATGCAGGCGTGGTCTCTGCTGAATGTTACCTTATATCTTCTATTCATATTAAATATATTGTTCTTTCTCTTAGCTAACCTTGTTCTACATCATGTATTGGTAATTGATACGATACAGTGAGTTGGTGTAGTCGATGGTGTGACTTCCACGTAAGATCTTATAGATTAGGCAGCTATATCATGACAAATCTACAAATTTAGGATTAGGTCTATTATTAGAGCAGCCATTATATCATAGTAGACCATAGTTCTACAGAGCTTTCATCGTTATTTTGGACGACATCATCAGCACAAAATTCAGGGAGAAGTGAGTTGTTCGAATTTCTCCACATGTGGTTCACAGCCTGTCCTGTACAACTTGAGGATGATTGGTTGTAGTTGACCTTAAACCTGTCATTGTTTACTTTTTTGTTTTGGTTGTATCTCCCACTGGCTTGATTTCTGTTCCTATGCTTGTGCACAATTTTCCTGATTGGTTGATGAATTCGATCGATTTCAGTTGCTGATTGATCTAAGCGCCAAGCTTCTAAGAATTTTCTGGTGTTTTTGGAATTGCCTCCATCCAATATCTCTACATTTTTTTTCAGTCGAATGTGTATTCACAGTTGTCCACGTGCATTGATATAAGTGAGGACATGTTATAGCGTTTGAATGCTAATTGATGCTCATGCAGACGAAGACGAAGCGAGCATCCGTTTTGTCCGATGTAGTGTTTTTCACAGTTGGTACATTGTATTTTGTAGATGATGTTTGATTTATCTTCTTTTGTTATTTCATCCTTTGGTTCGCATAGGATTGATTAATATGCCTTTTATGTATGGTAGGGTTATATTTTTGTTGATTTCCGTGCCTGACGTAGTTTCTGATGATGCATGCGGCCGGTGTTTTTTTGATGAAGTTGATTGGGTAGCCCGGGCATGAAATTAGTCACTCAACTGACCACAACTTCATCAAAAGAATTTAATTAGTGTCTTCGACATTTGTGGAAGCCCATTTTTCAATGATGCAATCAGTAACCTTTGATTTTTAGGTCTAAATGATTAAGTTCGCGCTGAAGTCATTGCTAGTACTCAAGGGCATTCGTTTTCAAGGACTTCACTGATTCCCCTGCAGAGTGTGGAACGAAATACATTGTTAGACTTTACATGAATTGATCAGCTAATTCATGTTCCACATACTTGGTAGGTACTGGTGCATTAGTTTTGGTTATGCTATAGCCCAATCATTTCTGAGGTGTATTTTAACATACATTAGTTTGTCTTGAAGGATCATCTTGACTAAGTACGATAATTGTAAGTGCTTAAAATGATTTTCTTACTAGTAGCTCCCGAAATACCGCAGTCTGAGGCAGGTAGACTTTTCGTGAGTACCTAGTTAATCGATAGTATGTAACATCGAAAGACTGTATAAGTTTATTATTTACTTAACCGTCTTCTTGTTTAAACAATTTCATCATTGTTTAATTTGCTTACGGTCTGGTAATTCTGCACTGAAAGACTTTATCTACTTTTACCTGCCGGTCCTTGAATTTTGTAACAGTTATAGAATTGATGTTTGTTTTGAGGGACTAGAAATGTTATGTTTGAGCATCAGAATGAGTGGGCTCTGGATTTGTGGGTAATTCTTCTCAAGTCGATCTCGTGGTTGACGCGTCGTCGAGCATTCCAGTAGAACCGTTTTCAGTGGTCGATAGGGAAGGCTATCCCCGAAACATTCTCAAATTTTCTAGACCCAGGATAGATAGTCGGCAACCAATGATGAGGATTTGACAAATTAAGACTAAAGATTTATCGTCTCTAACAAGCAAATCACAACACTCGAGAACAGGAAGTTTATGACTTGTGATATCCTAGACAGGAACCTTAATAAGTTTAATTATAGCGTTGAGACCTAATGACTTCAGCTTACCAACTGAAGTGACGGACATTATTCTGGCACTGTCAACAATTATATCATGAAAATCACCACCGGACGAATACAATCGGTTTCGAATACGAAGTGATTTACTCGGTGTTGTGAATAAGGTCAGTATCTGATTGCTATAATAACAGTGTTTAGTATTACTTGCGATGGAATGAACAGTGGTTTCACAAACTGACTTGATGAGTCACACTTTGCCACACTTGAGGCATTCAGCATGACGAAAGATAAATGAATCACATGAATGAAATTTACCACAGGCTAAACATTTACCGTTCATGTGCTCGCCAATGTAACCGACTTGCTAAGTATTAGAAATGGTCACTGACTGAAAATCAAGGATTGAAGATTTATCGTCTCTAATCAGTAAATTACAGTACTTGTGAATAAGAAATAAAGGACCCGTCGAACTGGAAATCGAAACTTGTTAGGTTTGATGATGGCATGAGGTAATAATAACTTCAATTTTTCAACTGGACTGACAGATTTGATACCCATCAGAATTGGGGTTTATGGAGAATTTAGTAGTAGTCGTTGAATTCATGAGTTGATCTAAGCTAGACCACCATTGAAAATCCGGAAGCTCTGGAGCGTTTACGGTAAGACTATATCCTCAAGGTTCTATAAATCTCAACGATTAAAATAGGTTATTTGATATGTAATCATTACTCCTGGAACTGAGAGTTAATTGTATACTGTATGTGAACGCGGGTCTTCAGATTTATCGGAATGGCGCCTTATAGGAGGAGTAAAAAGCCGCCACCCGAAGGATGGGAGTTGATCGAACCAACAATCGAAGAATTGAACAGGAAGATGCGTGAGGCTGAAACTGACCCTCATGAGGGAAAACGTAAGGTTGAGGCTGAATGGCCAATATTTCGCATTCATCATAAGAGGTCTCGGTTCATTTATGACTTGTATTATAAACGAAAAGCTATTTCTAAAGTAGGTCATACCCATTATCTTCTTAATAAATTCAGGAGCTGTATGAATTCTGCATCAAAGAGAAGATAGCCGATGCAAATCTGATCGCCAAATGGAAAAAGCAAGGATACGAAAACTTATGTTGTTTAAGGTGCATCCAATCTAGAGATACAAATTTTGGAACTAATTGCGTATGTCGAGTACCAAAGTCAAAGTTAGAAGAAGGCAAAGTTGTTGAGTGTCAAAGTTGCGGTTGCCGTGGCTGCTCTGGCTAATCAATGAGTCTGCATGTACGTACAACTTAACGTATTTGAATTTTGGTGTTAATTATTCACTTGGTTCTGTGTATATATATTCAAAACATAACTGGCCTTCCTACATCAGCTCACTATTCAATATGTGGACAGTATTTTTACACGGTTTCTTACATGATAATAGATATATCAAATGAAGTCATTTAACGATATACAGTCTATCTTTTTTGAAGTTTGCTTACTATTCCCATTTGGTTTGTTAACTTATCGTTTGCTCACAATGTATGTAATAAGTTCACATTGTTGCATTAAAAACAGAGGGTATAACGTCAGTTTTCTAATTTTTTAACTTCTAATATTGAAGACGGTTGGCTAACGTCAAATTCCTTCATTAGTTCATTTAAAATGCCTAGTCATCATATGTTAGGTATTGCATGTTTTGTTTGGGTGTTTTACTTACTATTTGAACTGCATAGACCTAAGTTTCAAGTTGTTATACATGTAGTCTTAGCATATTATAGGTCTCGAACTTTGAATTAAACCGGTGAAATTCTCGATCACTGACTTGAAGGGTTGTTGGGATATCTAGGTGAACTCATAATCGTATAACTCTTCTTTATATCCATTTGTAGCTCATAGATCAGCTTCGTAAGCGAGTTATCCGTCGGGTTGCCTCAATCAATTCAGTGTCTATTTAATCATTCTCACTTCTGTAACGAAATCGACATAGTTTATTATAATGTTTCGTAACTACCAGGTTTTGGGTCATTAAAATCCCTGCCGTGTGGTGGCAAAATGGTATACTTTGTCCTCATTCGAAACCGACATATATTTTTTTGAATATGGATATTTTCAACTACCATTAAAAAAACGTTCCTGTATTATGATTTCAAATGGTCATACTGTTTACTTATCAGCAGGCTTAAATCTCTAGTTTTCAATTAAAATGCTTTCGCCAAACAATCGTGAGGAAGCTTATACACTATCCCACTATTTATGCATAACAATATCAGTTTGTGTTTGATTTACGACATAATTCTTGATTGATAATCTATTTATTCAAAATGGCCTCTGAACTAGAAAGCATTGGGCATCAAAAGTTCATCTATTTTCATAATCGCACTTCAAAAACACTAGTAGTCAGAGACAGGTTTCATAACTACCGCAGCATTGTTCAATCTACTGTTATATTTTCTCATCCTTTGACTGTTAGTTACATCTCATTGTTGACAGATTTGTTTCCTTTATTTGTACCGAAATTTCCTCAGCTACTGAAACTCCAAAATGGATATTTATGAAGAATTAGAACAAAACTTAACTGGTTGTTTCATACTTTTGTCCATTGGTCTTTTTCGAGAGACGTGATTTGTGATTTTTCTCTGCAAACAGGAAAATTAATTCTATACCAAGATAATGAAGATACGTGGATTACCTCTAGTATCAAGATCTTAAATGTACTACTCATTATTCCTGTTCTAATTACCTTAGGTAACTGTTTGTAACCTGCATAGTAGTTCTGCGTAATTGATCTATCTTTGTACTATAAACCAATTATATTTAGATTTTCGCATATGATCCCAATCTTTTCTCATGACTTTACAATACATCCACGACCTGTTGGGAAACCAGCCTGCTCCTCACTAGTCAGTCATAGGTTTTCGATAATCTGCGGAGCATGATGGTAGCCATTTATTCGGAAGTATTCTTATCCCCTTATACCTGTCACATTGATGACTGGAGCCCTTTTTAAAGATGAGAATGACAATCGCCTTATTCTGCAGGCTATGTCTTTGGAAAGTCTTAATATCGACGTGTGTTGTCTATCCGAGACCCGTATTCAAGACTCTGGCGAAGTACTACAAATTCGATCTCCATCTGTCGCTTCGAAAAGCTTGTTTTACGTGCGCTTATCCGGGGACCCTGTGGCATCTTCGTCTGGTCTTGCTGGCGTTGGTGTCGCACTAAGCGCTAGAGCTGAGGCAGCACTAGTCGATTGGATCCCCATTAACAGTCGGTTATGTGCTGTTAGATTAGAAAGTTCCATCAAAGTGAGAAGAAATCGGCGTGAGAAACGATGTCTTTTCGTCATCTCCGCCTATGCCCCGACAGATTGCAGCCCGGATGCAATCAAGGATGAGTTTTACCACCAGTTATCAGTTCTTCTCCAGAAAGTGCGTTCGACAGATATTGTAGTACTAGCCGGAGACTTGAATGCTCAGGTCGGGCGTCTAGGCACAGAAGAGAGTCGTTTAGGTGGCCGATGGGGACTCGTTGGTCGCAGGTCAGATAACGGGGACCGTCTACTGCAACTTTGCACAGACCACAACCTGTTTCTGGCTAGCACTAACTTTCGGCACAGTCATCGCCGATGTGCCACCTGGCGTCCTCCCTCTGCATCTCAAGCCTGGACTCAGATTGATCACATCGCGATCAGCTACCGCTGGCGTGGTTGTGTAAAAGACTGCCGCTCCTTTTGGAGTACCTATCTGGACTCTGACCATGCCTTGGTCTGCGCCAATCTTGCCTTACTTTTCAGTGGACAACGAAGTGACCACCACCAACGGATTGATGTTAGCAAGCTGGTTGCAACTTCTGTTGCAAGTAAGTATCGAACCGAGCTAGCCTCTAGGCTAGCTACCACTCCACCGAAAAGTATAGATGAGCATTGGTTGCAATTGCATGACGCCATGAAAATGGCGGGAACAGTCAGTTGTGGGTTTGCGAAACGTCCCGCTTTTAAGCACTGGGTTTCTTCTGGTTCCTTACAACTCATTGAAGCCCGTCGGTCTACTCCGGGTGACCGTGAGTTTGACCATAAACGAAGGATGTTACGTAAGGAAATTGGGCAAAGCTTGCGTAAGGACCGAGAAGCCTGGTGGTCGATGCGTGCTAATGAGCTGGAAGCAGCAGCTGCATCTGGTAACTACCGGAAGCTCTTCCAGCTCATCCGAGCCACTGGCAGCAAGAAGTCTGGTGTGAGTGAAACAATCTGCGAGGATGATGGGATGCCAATCACTAACATCCATCGACGTCTTGGACGATGGGCAGAATTTTTCGAAGGGCAGTTCAACTGGCCTGCTGCTCCGGCAACATCGGTCAGACTGTCCTGCCCTCCATGGCCGGTGACGACTGATCCACCAAACGAGGAGGAAGTCCGCAAGGAACTCCAACTCTTGAAGCGTTACAAATCACCTGGCCCAGATGACTTACCTCCGGCTCTTTTTAAAGATGGTGGTGACTTTTTGACTAAGGAATTGACGACGTTGTTTACAAAGGTTTGGGAACTAGAGTGTGTACCAACGTCATGGAATGAGTCGATAGTTGTCCCTATCTTTAAAAAGGGTTCACGTCGTTCTTGTAACAACTATCGGGGGATAAGTTTACTTCCGATTGCGTCCAAGCTATTGGCTTCCGTCATTCTTCGTAGGTTGTTCAAAACCCGAGAAAGATTGACTCGCGAGGAGCAGGCTGGGTTTCGTTCTGGTCGAGGATGTATTGATCATATCTTCACCCTCCGCCAAATGTTAGAACACCGCCATACTTTTCAAAGGCCAACAATCGTAGTGTTTCTTGACATCAGGGCTGCCTTCGATTCGTTGGACAGGACTGTTCTCTGGGATTGTCTATTGAAGAAGGGTGTGCCTGAGAAGTTTATTAACATCCTAAAAGCCCTATATAAAAACACCTCAGGCAGAGTGAGGGCATACAACCACCTCTCTCCATTGTTCCATTCGAGCAGTGGGGTTAGGCAGGGTTGCCCAATCTCACCATTCCTCTTCAACTTTGCCATCGATGACATTCTGGAAACAGCTCTGATGAATGTAAGTAATGGTGGTGTGGATCTGTTGCCTGGAGAAAGACTTCTCGACCTTGAGTATGCGGACGATATTGTCTTACTGTGCGATAATGCCCAAGGCATGCAATCCGCACTTAATCAGTTGGCAATCAGTGTCCGTAGGTATGGTATGTGCTTTGCACCTTCGAAGTGCAAAGTACTTCTACAAGACTGGCAGGATTCTAATCCTGTACTCACCCTGGACGGTGAGCAGATAGACGTAGTTGAGAAGTTCGTGTATCTGGGTAGCTGCATAAGTGCTGGTGGGGGTGTGAGTGATGAGATCAATGCACGAATAGTGAAAGCCAGAGCGGCTTATGCCAATCTGGGCCACCTTTGGCGCCTTCGTGATGTTAGTCTGGCTGTAAAAGGTCGGATCTACAACGCGTCGGTGAGAGCAGTTTTGCTCTATGCTTGTGAAACCTGGCCTCTCCGAGTTGAGGACGTTAGACGACTCTCTGTGTTCGATCATCGCTGTCTCCGAAGGATTGCTGACATTCAGTGGCAACACCATGTCAGTAATGCAGAGGTTCGGCATCGTGTGTTCGGGCACAGAGATGATAACTCAATTGGTGTCACCATCTTGAAACACCGACTTCGGTGGCTTGGACATGTTCTCCGAATGTCGTCCCAGAGAATTCCACGTCGTGCATTATTTGCCGACTCTGGGACTGGTTGGAAGAAGCGGAGAGGTGGTCAGTGCATGACATGGTGTCGTGGCATGAAAGAAAGCTGCAAAGGACTGGCTTGTGTTGGTCCTTCACGACTCCCTGGTTGGGGTCCGAGAGATGGTGCTACACAGTGGCTAGAGACGTTATCAGATATGGCTCAGAATAGAAGCCAGTGGCGATCCTGCTGTAACCTTCTTTTACTTTCTTTCTAAAAAGTGGTTGTGTCTCCTTTACCTGAAAGATTTCTTCTGATTGTACCTTTTCGTTCCGTCGTTACTACCACACTACCTTACTCCAATCTCTTCGTCATTGTTCTCTTTTTCTTTTGCGTTCCCTAGTTTTTTTTTTTCTTTCTATTTCTCTTCGAATTTTCATTGTTTTGTGTGGCGCATATATATTGGCGCTCTCTTGTACCAATATTTATGTGTTCAAATAAATAAATATTCTGCGTTGCTGAAACGCTCTCTCCCCGGACAACTCAATTTTCGGTCTAGAAGTTTTCCAGTATCCTTAGGAAGAGCTAAGCGTTAGGTCATCTGGGCCTTGTGACTAGGCTTTGCAAGTTGAAGTTCCCATTGACGGGCCAGTGATCACTGGCCAGAAGAAACATGGCAATCTGGTGGACGCTTTAGAGACGACAGAGCTGAAATGTCTCACGAGGTTCCTTTGAACGTCACGAAATCCCTTTGATGGATTAGTATCTCAACATGGATAAAAAATTTCCTTCGGTTTTACAAACTATCGTCATTTGTGTTGTTTGAGAGATAACCGTCGGGTGTTTAAAAGAAGATAAAATCACAGGTTCAGTTTTTGATTACTTTATGTTTGTGAAATATAGAATAGAAGTCATGCGTAATATACCGTTTTTTGATCAACTGTCTTTGAGACTTTGGTCGTGTATCACTGAATAGCGTAATAAATAATTCTGTCGTTAGGTGTGGGGTACTAGGCAGTTGTTGTGAATTAGTTGGAGGCTGTGAATTCTGATCAACTGAGATGTGTTATATATGACCAACCGCCACCTACACCGGTTTGGAATGTTGGCTGGTTAATGTATAGAGGTGCCTCAAAAAAGATATGGTATCAAACTATGAAGTTATTAAAATTGTACCTGATCCGTACTGAAGGATGCGAACTACCTGGTCGAGTCCATGTCATCGGTTATTGGAGAAGTTGGATGATATGATTCAGAACCACAGTGGCCCAGATATATCCAATCATTATCTTCCTGTTATAACTGGGGATTTGATCAAACCACGTCCTTACAGTTGCATTTATCTAGTCGCTCAATTAATATCCAGATATCGATAAGTGTATAATAACATAAATATATTGAATGGGTTGGGCAATCACAGCTTACAGTGTCTAGACGTATCACTTCCCTTGAGTTTTGAGCTTCACTATTAATTCATACGTCTTGTCTAATTCTTCCCTTCTCGGGCCGTGTTCCTTATTATTTTGTGGCCATCGTTAATACTACTATTATTTCTCTACTTTTTAATATAATCTCATTTCGCTGACATGGAATATTGACTTGGGCTGACCGACATTTGTATCAGGCTCAGTGTTTTAACTGATCGACAAATATGTAAATGCATTTCGACGTACATAAACTTGATACATTAAGCTACTTATATGTCATCTAGCTGCTGCAGTAACTCCTACTATTGAATTTAATTCTACCAGACAATCTCTAGTTAGTCCCGTAAACCGATTATATTGTCTAACAAGCTACTTCCCTTTTGGTATTAAATTTGTCCCTTACCATCATTTAGTAGTTAATGTATTCTTTCTACCACACTATATGCAACAGGACGATAAACAGCTGTTTGAATCCTACAAGTTAAGCTGTCTACTGAAATAGCTTTCTAACTGTGAACCCTTGCTTACAGTAATTATCGTTCGTTCGTACGTTGAACATTCGATGTTAGAAGATATTCTTTACAACTACTGCAGAAATTTGTTTTAGGGACATCACAACCAACCTGGTAAATTACTCGCTAAAGTTGGAAATTAAATTTCCTACTTGATAGGGTATTACAATTGTATCATTATTTTAGCATTATAAACAATTCTTAGGAATGCGCCATCTCCGATTACAACTTACGAAAAGCAAATCAATATCGACTGGGTTTGTATTGCGTTATAGTAAATTATTCAGTGTGAACGCTGTCCATTTAATTTCAAGATATTTATGGTAACGATAATCACTCAGTTTGAATATGCTAGTCATTTTTGTTGATCTATGACCGATAAACTTAATGCACTTGGATTGATTATACTGGGTTAATATAAAAAAGCTTCATCCACTAAACTGATGCTTTTACTCTAGTTAGTGGGGTAGGAAAAATTAAAGGATAGAAGGAATCTTCTTTACAATCGGAGCAATGAAATTATTAGCACAGCGTACAAACCTATCAAGAATTCACTGAATGCTCACATCAAATCTTGACAATAAAACTGTTGAAGAGAGGTAATGTTTTGATCATATCAAGATGCATTAATCATATCTATGGACTTTTACAGAGAATTTAACTGCAGAAAGAATGACATGTTAAGTAAAGAAATCAGGGTGAAAGCTAGATCTTACTTGACGTTATCGGCAAATTTCAAACAGGAAACTAAGTAAAAAATTTCATACATTTTGTAAGGCCATTATTAAGGAAGCTAAATCTACCTAAATTAAGGTGTTTTGCTACACGTAATTGTAATTTCGTATGTATTGAGTTCTTTTATATGCCATTAAGAGTAAGATCACAAACTTCGTTACTGTATTCATCATACGACCGATAAGCCAAAGTAGTCGGAAGTATCTTCGCATTATCTAATCATTATATCAGTAAGATACAAACCAAAGTGTGTCATAAACCATAAATCTCAGTCAGTAACGACGTAGAACTTCGTACGTACGTACATCAGTTCGAGTTGCCACACCAGATTAGCACAGAGATGCAGTTGTCGATTCAAATCCCGTAGTGGTAGAGGCGGTAAGATTATAAGCAGTAATCGGAAAGATTAGGGTTTGAAGATATTATTCAAGGAGTCTAATCCAGTGAAATAAATTTGGGAAGAGAAAAAGAGACAAGGAGGATTCAGGAGATTAGAATTTGGGCGAACACAAAGAGTGGATGCACCTGCGCCATTGCAAACGATTTTGAGCCATGTCAATCAGGGTCTCTAACCATCGGTTGTTATCATCTCGCGGTCCCCAACCAGGTAGTCTACACGTACCAACATGGCTCAGTCCACTTGTCAGTGACTTCATGGACTTGTGCCATGTTTTGGTCCGGCAGCCCCTAGCTTTCTTCCAACCTACTCCTATATCACTGAACATCGCACGTCGATGCAGTCGGTGGTTGGGCATACGTAACACGTGTCCCAGCCATCTCAACTGATGAAGTTTCACTACTTCATCAATTGATTTGCCATCCTTACCTAGTACCCGTTTCCTAACAACTGCATTACTTACTCGATGGTCCCATGATATACGAGCAATGTTTCGAAGACACTTATGGTCAAATACTAGTAAACTACGAATATCCTCTACTCTTACCGGTCATGTTTCACTGCCATAAAGTAGGACGGGACGAACTGCTGCTCAGTAAACTCGTCCTTTGGTTGATAGACGGATATCTCGCCTACGCCATAAATGACGCGAGTTGGCAAAATCTACATAAGCACTAGCATGTTTTTGAATAAGAATGGGTATGACAAATATTTAGTTAATAGATATGACAGTAACTGGTTAGCCAAAAACACCGCTTAGCTGTTACTGTATTAGCATTTCATTAAATTATTGTTCGTTAAACATTCACCAAAGAACATGGTTATCCACGTAGTATATTTCTGTTTCCCTTGCCCCATCTTAACAGTATGAAGTACATGTTATTTAAATTAATGAGCGAATAGTTGAATTTTTTTAATTGCTATTATAAGCTTATGGATAAAATATTACGTAACTAACTGAATACTATGGTCATTTATTAAAGGTCAGGTTGTTTGCATTATAATGAAGGTGAAATATCTCATTTGGCTCACAAACCCTTAGTTCTTTATTTCTTCGATTTGTCTATAGATATAGTTAACAACAATTGAGTAAATATTCTCTATATTTCACTTCAATACGACGCCTCATAGTGATTAACTCCAATTTTTCAGGACTTTCGATGAAGTAGGTAAGTAAACAAAGCGTGAAAAATTACAGCTCCTTGTTCTACCTATTTACACTACGTGGAAAATCTATGTACGTAAAAGAATGAGTAAACATAAGATTTAAGTTGTCGATGCTACTCGCCATCGATAAACTGAAAACGTTTTCACTTTTTAATGAAGATTAACTATTTATAGATCACTGATTTATTCCAGCTATGAATTCGTAAACGACCAGATTAAATTCGTCTGTTATTGGGCATCATTTAATGATATATGTATATGAGATACTGTCAAATGTTCTATTTCGGTGCAATTGATCACTTGTAAAAATTCATATTTAATATTAAAGGTCCTACATAGGTAGGTACGCATAAAATAATAGATCTTGTAATTTCGCCAAAACGAACTTATTATTCCGAAGAAAATTGAACAATAAAGCTACATTAAAAAAACCCTAATATGTGTTTTAACAAATAGCAACTAACTTAGAAAGAAATCTTAGTTATATTTATGTTCGCAGTAATAATCTTTGGTATCGACACTCTAGAAATCTGAGATAATTTGAAATTTCATGTTGAATGTCTTCTTTTTCTGAATTAGATAAATGTTGATTTATGTTCATTGTTTGGTAAGCTTTTGATATGATTTGTAATTGTCTGAACAATTCATGTTCCAAGCGATCGTTTACTGTTAAATAACCGTTTTCTTGGTATTTTTCCATTTTAAATTTGATATATCATGTCTCAAATCTGTTGCAGTAGTATAATGTGAGGATTCCGTTGGAATGGATGCATCCAAATCAGTCTGTTTATTTCGGGTCTTCAATATCTAGCAGTACATAAATGAACAATATTTAAGTTCTTCGTTCAATATTTTAGTACTGTTCACTGAATTAAGATGATATCGCTCCTCAAATTTTGATTATGAGTGCATAATTATTTCTGGTAATACAGTAATCAGTTATTCACCCAATGTGTCCGTTGGATGTACAATGAGACTTTCGTGTTCGTAATTTTATTCTATTCAGGTACTGAGTTTATAGAAGTAAAAGTCACACTCAATTTTATGTTTGCTCAACTTAATATTGATAATTGTTTGTTAGGAATTTTACGAATATAAAACGGCTCATTATATACAATGATCTCATTTCAAGAAAACCCTCCTCCTAGCTAACATACAGTTGGAGAAAAACTTACTTGTCTTTGCAAATTTTGAAAATTTAAGCTGATATTTTTATCAATTTGTTTTAAATCTCCAGTATCACTCATTGTCATAGTCTTTCTGTTGTTGGTTTTTTCATCACCATTATCGCTTAAATTTTCTTCTTCAATGTATGAATTCAGAAGTTCTTCAGCTCGATCCAATATCTCTTGAGGAATTGCAGTAAGCCTGGCCAATTTAATACCTGATTTTATGAAGAAAAAACTTCCAACTGAAGTAACAACATTAGTGATTATTATGTTAATCTCAAATGCATAGAGCTTGACATAACAATCAGTGATTTCCAATGATTAAAAAATTCTTTGATTGTGTGTATTTATACATCTAAAATTGACCCAAATTGTTGAATGGTACCCAACCACCAATTACAACTAATTTCCTACGTATTTAATAGGAAAATCAATTTCACACTGTACGAAACATTGGCTATGAAAGAAACCCAAGAAGCTATTGTTTCTTTTGTAATAGGCAGCATACTTTAAAAAAAAACAAATATTCATAATCTATGTAAGAATAGTTTTGATTAAATTTGAGTGGAACATGTGGATGAAGACAACGATTGTAGAAGAATTAGGAAGTTGTTCAAACAGATGTTTATTTATAGGCTAAATATGTAAATATTCCCGAAGAGAAAACTAAGAACTCGGAAACAGAATTTTTATGAATAAATTATTAGCATTTTAGTTCATGAACGAAATTGACTATCTGAGTAAAATTCAAATGATAAAGTAAGAAATAAGGAATTCTAATTAAGGTCAGGAAAGGATGTTACGTAACAAACCCTTGGGATCGAGGCCAATAAGGGGGAGGAAGATTGATAACTGAGTCTTTACTAATATAAATTGTGAATAATTGTCTGATGATTAGTGCCAGTGAATGTAGAAAGTGTATTTAAATAATCTCAAAGATTAAAAGTTAAGTAATTTCAACATTTTGTCTAGCGAACAGGTATATTCTACTTCGTTTGTGGCATTTACTACTATTTCACACTTACGTAACTCATTGTAACTTTTGGAAAGATCAATTGATCTAATATTATGGAGTCGTTATGTACAAATGCATTCAACCTTTACAATTATTCACTTGTAACTCGGACTATTTTTATGAGGGTGTAGTGCGTATGTTTTATCATCGCTTCCTCTCTCTGACTTCCATCTTTAGCTTGGTTTTTTGTCTGACTATAAATGTTGAGTCACGTTTAATAAAGTTGTATAGGCTGGGCAACTTTTCTCCATACCATATCTCCTACAGTCTGTCCAAAGTAAATTCTTCCGACCCAATTCGTATTTGACTTTTATTACCACTGTTGTCCAACGGGTTAGCCTAATTAACAGTATATGGAGTTGAACGGAGAATTTATAATCTATGGTTTATTTGTCGTCATTCGTTGCTACCAATTTACACTGAGGGATAAAAGGTACACAAGAAAAGAAGAAAGGCTGTCTACCCACCATACATTATTTTGGGTGATATTCCTTTGTTTAATTTATAAGTAAAAGTGATTTGACCAAGATCTTGACTGGTTGAATCAATGAATTCGAAGTGTTTTAGATGTTGATTCATTTTGAATGTATTTGAATAATTTTCATCCGAGAAACTATGAACTAACGGAGATTCTTCAGTGAAACTGCTGTTATTAGCATATGATGTTTCATAAATACTTCGATTCGATGTACCTATATTATGATGCCCATGATAAATATTTAAAAATTCTTCTTGTACTGAAAAATAATAACTAGAATAAGAATAGATAAATGAAATAGACATCTGAAAACAATAAAACTAGAATATAAGTTAATTCATAGAATTACTAGTGTGGTGTGATTTACTTATATCCACATATGTAGTATATGACGATGGTCAAGAATAGAGTGTATTTCAGTAGTTGATCGAGAAGGAAAGAACGGAAACGGAATTCATTGGTATGAAAGTGAATGAACAATAAAATCTAAGACGATGGATTGATGTTTGCGAAAGAAACAGTCAAGTTCGAGACGATAGATTGATATTTTGCAAATTGACTATTTACTGTATGGTTCTCAGATTTTACTATAATGTTCTGTAATTCTGTGTCCTCAAAATCGAATATTTCTAACTTACCATTTCATAGCTCAGATGAAAAGTAAATGTATATAATACTCTAACGGTAAAATAAAGCAAATAGGATGTGTAAGAACTTTCGTCTAAATTTGATCGTATAGTTTCACAGTAGGAGAGATGGAATATAACTAGCTTTCCCATGGCAACTAATAATTAATAAGTAAACTTTATTCCATTCTATCTATATCGTATTAACTAATTATGAAATATTAAATTCAACGGTTCAAATCAGTTGTCTTATCTGAATATGTCAATTGACTCGAACACTAAGACAACACAAACTTTCAATTACAAATACATTCTTTCTCTTTCAATTCATTATTTTATCTTGTTTATTTATCTTCATTTAATGCATGCTGTGACATTTTTAGTTCATATCATATATCAGAAGGGGTTTGTGGAGATTTTTTAGAAATTTTCACACATTGAAATCATGAGTCAATTGGAGCTAGACCACCATGGAAAACCTGGAAGCACTGGACGGCCGTATCGTCCTAGTATGGGACTCCTCAGCAGTGCGCATCCACGATCCCGCACCCCGCGAGATTCGAACCCAGGACCTACTGGCTTCATATCATATATAAAAATTATATATTTTCTTAATATTCACCGACCGAAGACAATATATAGTGAATGAAATTCCTTCTTCTCACTTAGGTATACACATAATCTGTTATCTTAACACTTCGTTTCACATCACATGTCTGTTACACACTAATGTAAATACCTACTTTAAACATTGTTAACGTTGATTGGATGACTTATTCAGTAGACAGTAAACCGGAGAACCATGTACCTATTTATATTCGACGATGTTGATGTTTGATTATATTTCCTTGAAAAAGCTTGGACCAGATTGCTAGGCGGAACGTTGGATTTACTTCAAATTCTTTCAATGAGATTTTACAAATACATTCTTCCTTTCTAAATAGAATGTGTTCCTTAATTCAATCACCGTTGAATGAATATGTACTGATTAGACTAATGGATTTTTCTCTAAACTTTACCAGTAAATATATCTTTATCTGTAACTATATGATATAAAGACATTGCGAAATATTCGTGCTATAATTAATAGGATATCTCAGTGCTCATCGATTCATTTCATTTAGTTTCCCCAATTACTACTTCGACAACCATCCTTAAAAACAAAAATATCGTATAATTATCAAAATTATACTTCACGTTTCTTCGTTATGTAAACTGAATTTCTATTTGATAGACATTTTTAATTAACTTCACTTCCTAGATTTCATCCTTATGCATGTGTGTTTGGATAGATCAAATGTATTTATTTACTTACCCAGTAAACATTTATTATCCACTAACATAACCTCATACTCTTGTAATCAAATCATGACATAGTTTCAAACTGCGCTAATCATTAATGGCTTTTCTCGGGTGATTTTATGTTCTTGAAAACTATAGTAGTACTATGGATCAATCTTAATACTGATTGTTATAAATGTAAAGTATTCATAGTTTGCATCACGGACTAATTTCATTTAAACAACCACTAAAAACAAGGAAGCACTAAAAAGATATTCCGTCCTATTATCGGACTCCTCGTGGAAGCACCCTACTAAGAATTTCCATACTAGGATGTAGCAGCTTCCCAATTCTTCTTGGTTTTCAATGACTGTCAAACTAAGACCAGTCCATGATGTAATCTATGAAATACTATACGAACTTCCCATAGTTATAAACACTATTTAATTGGCGATACTTTAAGGAATTAAAATATCATAATAACCCACACTTCATTATCGAACAACTAGTCGGGTATAAAGAACATTAAAATATGATGGGAATTATGGCATACATATTTGACCTTGATTAAAAAAGAATATACTCTACCTTATCATTTCATTATGTATACTACAAAAACCGACTTAAATGTGAATTTATTCGATTAGTCGCTTTTGTTCATGAATTATGAATGTAAAAGCACTGTCAACTGAAACCCATTCGGTTAATAAATACAAAGAAATCGATGATGACTTCAATGACTAACCTCTTCTCAGTTTTTTATTTTAAAATAATATACATTTAATTCAAATAACTCCCTTGTACAAAGTTATTTGTCTTAGTATGATTATTGATAAAAGTCCACAGGTTCCTTTTATGAATATATTGATAAGACTATTGTTTAATATTTATACTAAATCATTAAAATTTAAAGTTTGCCTATTTCTCTTTCAGTTTTCATGCCTTCTTTTGTGATTGTCATTCGTTTATGTCCTCAAATAATATGAATTTCAAGAATTAATGTTAACAAATAGATAACTGCTGAGGAGTCCCACAATAGGACGAAATGGCCATCCACTGCCTACAGGTTTTCCATGGTGGTCTAGCTTCAATTGACTTATGATCTCAACTATTAAAATAAATAACTGTTAGCTATATTTTTGATATCGTTTACAAAATCCATTTTATTGTGTACAATTATTAAATTATATATAAGTAATATATGAAGTATTGCAATCGAAACCAGATGGTGAACAGCTAAAGATAGTCTGGTTTCAATGCATGTTACTTACTTTTCTACATTTGGATAGAATGAAGCTAAGGAGGTCAATTCATAACGATTAGTTGCCAAAAACGTGAAAGCCTACATTAACAAACAGCGTCAAACATCTCAGTTATTGGTGATGACATCAGATAAAATAAGAGAAAAATATATGACATGAATTTTAAGTTTTGACTTGTAGACTTTTCGAGTGTCAGTTCAAACCATTCATCCATTTATGATATGATCATGATCCATCTTAAGAATCAGCTTATTTTGGCTAAGTACAATGGATTCCTGTATTGTTAGCTGCAACTGACTATTAAATGATTGTAAAATCATAACAGAACTAAATAACAATTTGGCTGTTATTAAATACTAACACTCTACTTCTAAAATCCAAAAGAGTTAATAATAAATATATTTTGTTGTATCCCAATGGGTAGAAAAATTGTATTCCTGACGTTTCGTGACTTAATGTAAGCCACTTCATCAGAGTAAATAAATAATTTTTTCTAACCATTGTGATTTAACAAAAATATATCACTAACTCTCTACCCAATGCTCAAATTATTTGAAACTATCAAATCCAACCTTGATATTGATACCTACAAAAGAATTAAGGGGTTATTATTCATCTTAGCTGTCTTAAAACCGAAAAAAATAGGCATTTAAGCTGCATCGAAGCATGTGTGATCGGGTTGTAATTGCAGGAGAGTGGTTGAATGCTCTAGTTTAAGTGTTGATTATATAGTTCAGATTGTCCATAATAGTATTAATGATCTGCTTACAAATCACATAGTGATAGTGAAATAATAGCTGAGAACAATACTTAACGTTTGTTAATCTGGAATAGTTTTCAAATGCTAATTTGCTTGATTTCCAGGAAAAAAAACATAGCAAGTAGATAACTTTTAATTATACAGTTCGATCATATGACTTCTTTCATTTAATAATATAGACAAAATCTTAACCACACATCAACATAATTAAGAAGTTACAATATAGGGGTAACTATGTCATAAATGAAACGAAACTGAGTAATAGGTCTGTAAAAAAGTAATATCGACTTAAGAAAGGTACAATACTTGACAACGGTTTATTTATCACAAAAAATGTACGGGTAAGAGAATACATAGATTCAACAATTGAAGTACTCAATGATTACGCAATAATAATGTGAACAAAAACTATAAGTCGAACAGTTCTGAAAGCTCAGCTTGCCTCATATTCAGTCCATTATAGTGAAATTGTCAATAATAATTACTTCTTAGAAGTATTAAAAAACTAAACTAAAACACAGCTGAAACTAAACATAGGTAAATGAACTCCAGTGACATTACAAAGTTAGGTATGTGAACAATTTTTAACACGTAGATCCATCTATAAGTTATTGGATTCTATAACTGTGCGAAATCTATGAAGAGAATATATTTTTGATTCAATCCCGTACTAGAAATAATCATTGAATCTAACTAAAATGAACCTATTATGTTTACTAGATACAGAACAATAAGGACGTGTGTTGTGAAACCTTTTTATATTCTGAACTCACTTTATGTTCCAGTAATGCTTCACAAATAGCCCAGTTGAGATATTCGACTTCATCAGGGTCAGTATCTCAAAGAAAAAAGAATTTTAAGTTTAGTGATTAGTGAATATCTTCGCAATAAGATGGAATTTCTTCATCAGAGTTTAAATAATCAAATGCGTGCAAATTCCTTACCAAGTTAAAATCATCAGTAAAAAATGTTATTTGAAGCCCAAAATCATCTCAAACAGTAGTAACGTTGAATCATATATTGTTAAGCTATCCAAATCAAAAATATTTTCAGAGGTAAATATTTACTGTGAAAATAGATCAAGTCAGAAATTAAGTGTGTTGATGTAGTCCAGTTTTTATTTTACTAATAGGAAACCATAGATGATTGGAAGTTATCATTACACAAAATGTCAGGTTTTTGATTTTTATAAAGTAAATAACAATTGGTAAGTAACGATAATATTACGCCTACTATAATTAAAAAATAATACTTTGGTTCATTTCTCCAAAAACTATATAATTTAAACGGCTGTGTATTTGAATCAAATCGAGATGACTTCTTTTTATCATACAATTCTATAAATACAATCTGATTTCAAAACTGAATAGGTCACCTTAATCTTGTATAACATCTTAGACTCAATACATTGTCACATCAGCTATAGTTGATGATATCAGAAAGTCAAGTATAAAGATTAATGGTTGGATTTATTTCCAACATAGCACAAGTGTAAGCCGAAAAATGAAATTAATGCGTAAGTTACACAACAACAAATAAATCAGTTGAAATATTTTGTCAAGAACTTATGTAGATAAGCTACTACAAGTCATTTGTTTAATAATTGAAAAACATACATTTAATTAATGACTGTAAATTATCTAAATATTAAACTGAAAAGTTATAACTGGAAACATTAACTTCCAATATCTTATTGTGGTGCGTGCTACTTATATTGGTATAAGTAGTATATTATGCGAGTCAGAAATGAAATGTCTGGCAGCAGAAGATGAGGGGAGATCAAGAAAGCAAGAGCGGGAATAGAATGCAATTCGTATGAAAATGTAAGAACAATGAAGTCTGAGGTATTTTGAGACAATTGGTGGACATTTTGCAAATTAACGATTTAATATATAGTTCTCAGATTTTATTGAGATGCTCTGTAATTTTGTTCCAAATACATCCGGTTGATCCCCACCCCTGTTCTGTTCACTACACTATTACTAATAATGGCGTGAGAAGATCTCAAAACGATCGTCTTCATTTTCTAAGAATAGTAAGTATTGACCAACTGAGAATAAACAGAAACCACTCGAAACAGTCTTAAGATCCTTCTCATATTATGACACTGTCAAATTACTCTTAAATTTTATCAATTAGCTATAAACCGTCCAACTTTGGCTTATCATTTTCTCACCACTTTTGATTTCGTCTATTTATAATTCATGTTATTTTTTTACATGATTTATGAGTTATGTGAAGCATCATACTGTTCGAGATCAAACTTCATATAATAACTCATTTATAAAAGAACAAGAATTGGTAACACATTTTAATATTTGTTTTCCTAAATAGAGGACAAGGAATGGATAGTGCCATAACTAAATAAACATATCTCTATAAACTTACTCTGGCATAAACCATCGATAAGAATAATAGATGATCTGGAGAAATTTTGTAAAATATAAGTTAATTCTCTTATCTGTAATGTAGAAAAAAAACATTTCAACAGTATTTACACATGAATTAGCATTAGACGTCAATTGGTGTATACATGTATTGTTCTGCATAGTCAATTTAAATTCAAATGAGCAACATCACAATAAAGTCTATTTATCTACAGCATTTTGATACACAGAACTATATTGTGGTATATGCTACTTATGTTGAGAGATATAAGTACTATGTAACACCGATCAGGTGTAGAATGATTACAAGAGAAAATTGAATTGAAGAGAACAGAAAAGGAAACTGAAATTAATTCTAATGACAAGAGAATTGGACGAGTCATGAAGTATATAAAGGACAATTGATGTAAGATGTGCAAATCATTTATTTACTGTATGATTTTCATATAATATGAAAGCACTCTTTAATTTTACATTCATCAATAAATTACTTATCCCCATCATCATGTCTTCGTTCACTACAATATAATCAACAATGTATTGCATCGCTATATGTTTATTATCCTAAATTTTAATTAAGGTATTCAACAGTAAAATATAGTAAATTGAGAAATAATTCAAAGTTGTAGAATGGTGCATAACACACTATATCAATTCATGATTTTATATTGTTTGCAAAAGAGCTACAATATACTAAAAGAAAAATAATTTGAATAATATATAATCCGATTGAAGAACTGATTTGTAAAGTCTGTATTTTACAAGTAAAAGAGCAGTATAAGAAGTTACGATTCAAGATTGGATCAATATAGAATTTATAGAAAACAGTAAGAATGATGTATGCTATCTGATTTACAAGTCAAAAGTGTTAACTATAATTTGGTTTCATTAAAAAAAACATTGAATATTGTGAACAGATAGTGAGAAATATATAAATGTTATTTAAATAAGCGACTAAATTAGGCATTTTTGTGTGAATTCATTAACGGTCGATGAAAGCAACTACAGTATTCTTTAAACATTTGAATGTTCTTGGTTTGATTGCTTTTGAGATTTACAGTGAGTACAATAAGTGTCTTTTACAGGTCATTTCTTAGGTAAAACACTTAATTTTTAACCATTTGGTTAGAGGTCAATATTCTATTTCACTAAAATTGGTTTTAGTAGTTGAGTTACAAGAAAGTTTTGTTCTTTGTTTTTAACTTTCAACAAATGAATCTAAATACAGGATTAAACCGGCAACTCGATATTATTCATTCAATTCACTTATTAATCACATTTAATGACTTGATTTCTCTTATAGATTTATTAAAAATACTCATCTTTTTCAAATATTACGCAGTATACAATTAATCTAAGAGCTAGTAACACTTAATCACAAATTCTAGTTTAAACTATGAATCATTTACATTGACTTACTTCATTAACAAAACTAGATTCCCCTAAAATTATATCATCTTGTCCTTCTGTATGAAAGAATATTTGATCAGTAAGACGTACTGAAGTGAATTCAGCCGGAACAAATGAACCTATTTGTGCTAAAATTTGTATATATGCAATTTGTCTAAGATAGGTTGTTTTTCCACACTAAAAAAATAAATACGCAGACAACAAAATATCATAAATGACATATTAAAAGGGGTAATCGTTTATGAAACGGTATTCATTCTTGATAAATATCTATTTCTTAGATATCCTGTAGTTACTGTGAACAATTCAATTTAGGTAAATGTTTCCGAAATTACTAGAAACAAATGTGAAATGTATTGGTAATATTAATAGAATTTATTAGTTGTAGTATTAAAGTTTATTTAGTATTTCCACATGCGAATCATCATTACATATTAGACGTAAATTTAAGTCAGTTTAAAGAAGTTCAATAGGTTCTATAACACCATTTACAACAAAGTCCAGTATCTTAAGAATTGTACACTCAACTTCTTTAACTCACAGTTTTTGTATGAATGTTTTAAAACTTGTTTTGAAAAGAAAAAAAATGTTAATCACTTACCATGGGCGGTCCGGTTATAACATGAAAGTTCAAAGAAGGTGATGCATACTACAATGAAATATAAAATAAGGATATTGTTACCACTAAACTTGTATGTTACCGTATGATTTGCCACAGATAATGATTTCTTTTCTTCATCAGTAACAATATTCCGTCCATTTTTTATCCCAAGTATATCATTAAATATTGGGCAAACTGTAAAAAAGGTAAAAAAATCATAAACAAACCATTTTCTTAAATTTATCATTGCACAACATCTATTTTCAGAAACATTTTATAAACTTAAATAGTTTATACTTACCAGATAATTGATAGAGATTATATTAAATTATATTGAAAAATTAACATAAGCAAGTCTTATGGAGTGAGTTGAAAGTTAGCGACAGTCATGTTACATTGTGGCACCCGTCCATGAAGTCATTCATTGTCGGTCTGAGCAGAGTTAGTGTATACAGATAACCTGGTTTGAGTTCGAGCAATTGCTTGGAGATTTAGGGTTACATGTCTTATAACCATTTACAGTGACTTAGTTGAATCAACTAGTTATTTTACTCCATATTTTCAGTTCCATTATTCTTTCGTAATTATCTTTTTTTTTACTTTGATTTTTCTAGCCATATCCTTAATTTACCTCGTAAGGGTTTGAGTTATGCTCTTGTTGATGTTCGTTACTGAACTTTGAGCAGTCCTAATTGGTAATAGGTATAATGTGAGGATTACCTTGATATATCCATTTTGTCGCAAGTTTATACAGAATTGATGAAACAATGTTTAGATTAACTAAAATTATCACATCAATTAAGTTGAATAATGATAAAAAGATAGTTCAGTCGCTTTTTGTTCTCATTTCATTGATTTTTATAGGTATAAAGATTTCCTATGGTATGAGTAATGTCCAAAACTATGAACTACCCGAATATACCTCACAAAAGTAACAAATTATATCTGGTATAATTGGCTATCTGTCGTTATCATTCTAATGAACAAGAACGTGAGTTAATTTGAGAATTAATGTTTGACTTGTTTCATCCGACTATAATATACAAATTTTATAGAACGGAATTTGGGATGATTTCATTTCTCGTGAATTTTATGATCGAACACAGTTTTCAAGGTTCACATCAGTTGAAATAACATCGTAAGAAATATGTATCTATTTACATTTAATAATAATATATGAGGTGTATCTAACATGTTTCGACGAAAAATACTTGATTTTTAGGTTAACAGAATAACCTTGTAAATTTTGCTAGTATTTTCGAAGCCAAGTGACAAGCTGATTAAAATAGCAAAGGAAAACCGTTTGGTTAGACATCAATATTTAAACAGAAATGTACTTTGTACTTACCGAAATGATTTCTGAGAGAATAAGTTAATGACATTTTGGCGAATGAGGCTAATAGATCCAGACCTGCGATTACTTCTGACAAACGATAAAATAGTCCCATATCTGGATGCAGTCCAGTAATTAAGTCGCTAATAATTCTATAATTGATAATTAGAAATAGTTAAAATTTCGATCTATGTTCCTGTAATAATGATTACATACAACATAAATCTTTGAGATGTACTGAATTTCCTAATAAGTAATTAATATATTTAAACAAGGATATAACTAAGTTCACTTGTTACGGCCAGTCTCAAATTTATTAGAGTAGTAAGTTAAGGCTTGTCAGATGAATGCATATGCATCCCAAAGTTAGTTTTCACTCCAGGACTTGAACACAGTTCCGTTCTCTTCAAACGCCACTGCGCTATCCATCTAGCTACTGGGTTCGAATAGCCACTCACTTGTTCAATGGAGGTGAATTTTGATTCATTTGACTGGTTGTTTAAATCTCCCTATCGATGTTTCGACTGATCAACTGCAGTTCTCAACATTAAATGAAAGATTAAAACTACCAATATTAAAAAATTTAGTTGACGTCTTAATAAACTACATCCCAGTTTGAGTCTGCAGCATACACCCAATAGATTTAAGTCATCTTTATCCCACTTTCAACTTTTCTTTACCACTTGCAAAGTAAAGTTGGTGGATCATCAAAAAATCCATAACTTTAAATAAAGTATAAACCTTTTACAACAACGACTTACTGATCAGCAATATGATATACTTCATAAAGAGATCCTTTAATCCGTTCTGTTTAAAAAATAAAAGGAAAAGCCCATTTTGTCGAAATTCAAACCATTTGTAAATATTCCCCAAAGATTTTAAAGATAACAGTCCTAAGTAATTATTAGCCTAATTTCAATTATCAGTATCCACTTTTGATTACACCTTCAATATGCATTTAAAAATCAATGTTCTATGGTTCAGCTCCAAACAGATTAAGATTTTAGACTACTTGATTATAAATAAATGTCGCACGTTTGTATGCCTAAAATGTAGCTTCAAGAGTAAATTAGTTCGACAGTACCAATACTAATATAAGAAATTAACTTACTTCATCAGAAAAGCAAAGTTTTACAAAACAATAATATTTACTAAAGAAAGCAAATTTTCTGTATGTTTGTATAAAATCAAAAACACTATAGTAGTTCTAAATGCTTCAATTGACAACAAATTCGACGTTCGCTATTTTTTCACAATCTTAGTAAATAATCTTTTTGTGTTCTATGTAAACCGTAAGTTTGTTGATCGTAAAACTCTTAAGATCATACTTGCTGGAGGGATCTTCATGTGAACCAGCTCAATTTCTTCTTCGAACCTTTCAATATACTTGTTTACATAATTACGAGTACATCCGTAAACACAACTAGCGGTGACGTTAGATAAATACTTACCTGAGATCAGTTTAATGAACAGGTGGTATAATATTGCTAAAAAATACTTCAGAATAACTACAGTAAATCTTCATTTCGGTGTGCTCTTCATCCTTCTGTCAGTTGGCTATGGCGGATAGATACAAGTCTTTTACTCAGATTAGTCATAACTTAGCATACTGTTTTCAAAAAATTTTTAATGCCTTTCAGATTGTATGTTTTCCGTTAATTTCATCCTAAAGACGCACTTTTTAAGCTTAGAACCCTCACTTTCTTTGAAAAGCAGTTTATTCAGACTATATTTATAAATAATAAAATAAAATTAGTATTATTTATCTACTGTATATTTTTTCTGCAGTTATTGATGTTTGTATAATACTGAAGATTAAGCGTTTGATTTGAATTTTATTATCAGGTTTCATTAAAAATTAGTCTCTCAGATAGCCATCCCTGAATTGATGAAAAAAATTTTCGAGGCACACTAATTATCATTATAAGTAATAAGGGTGTCTCTAACATAAACACACATTAATACATAGTGTTTTCAAATTCGAGATTCATTTTATTGTTGCTATGGTTACTTTTAAAACTATCCCCGCTTAATCAATTTATATATATAACAGTTGACAAATTAAGCTTTTGGTTTTGTTAAATAACATTCATATAGACATAGAAAAAAACATTAACTTAAATTAATTGTTTGGTTAAATCCATATAATTTGGTGTGACTATAATTTATAAACGATGCCAAAGTGACCTTGGGAAAAGTCACCTACTCACTAGGGTCTAAAGAGTGTTATAAATTAGCGTGAGGAATTGAGATTAGAGCATAAAGTTAGAAGTTAGGGTTAAAGATTAGAGTTGAAGTTTTCATCACGAAATGAAAATAGTTGTAATGCCGAAATGTTATTTACTCATTTAGATGAATGAATTTCATGCCAAAATTCAAGTTCTGAAATCTTTAATTTCACTAGTTCGTCCATAATATATAGTACTCCGGATAGTTCATTTTTTCTAATATTTTAGTCACCCTCCTTGTTCAAATAATTTTCAAGTAAACAGTTTATTTAAATTCTGTCAACATTATAATCTCACCACATTTCTGAAGCGGTTTACATTAGTGAATAAAAAATATTTTTAAATGTTAGGTAGTTAAAGATAGTCGGCAGGAAACCTTGAACCTCTGTTTTGTGTTCGTCGATACCCGGTAAATTGTTGCAACACCAATCGTGAAGAAACGATACTCCTTGTATGAATAATCAGCTCTATAGTCCAATACATTACCCCTGATCCATTTTTGTAGAGAATGAGCTGGACTTTTAAATCCCAGTAAAAAAAAAATAATTTATATGATAGTTTACTAATTTTTCATTGAAGAGAAAGTCTTACTTATTGGAAAGCATTTTGTCGAAATAATATGAAATTTGGTAGAATTTACTATTACAAAATATCATAACCTTATATTTTTTGAAAGTTTACTTTCCATATCCGCAATTTGAATCAACTTACCATTTAAACGAATCTAAAAGAAAAATCATAGAAAATTGATGAAGCCTAAATATTCACTTAGTCAAGGTAAAACTTATGTTAATAATGTTAACTAAACATATATAGAACAATACAGTTTAGATTTTGCTGGAAAAGAATTGAGAAAACTATAGCATGTTATATGATTCTTCTTCATGAATTGGGGAATCATGGATTAATATGATTTCAGAAGCAGTTTGCAAAATAATTTGGAATTATTTAGAGAAATATAGCACTCCAAATTGGAATCTGAAAGTTTATATTTATTGTCTATAGAACTGGAGAAGCTTAGATATGTTTGTTCTTCAACTCAGGGCCGTAAATGTTTTTCTGGAATCCGTTTGTAAATATAGATACTAAGTTTGAGTCTTTAGTCATATATTGACCTCAGTGAGTCAAAATTCAGATCTAAACCAACAAATGCAAACCTAAAGTCAGTACTCCGTATTATAATGAGCGGAGTGATTCCTAATTATACTACACTAGTGAAAAACTGCATAGTTCCGTTCATCCTAGATGATGATATCATTATCGCTAAGGGTTAAGTAATTAAACTTTAATTTCACTAACAACCAGCTCTCGTCAGTATCCTGATTTTATACATTTTCTTATTACGTATGTGTAACCCATTTGACAGTGTCTGTATTTTAAAAGAAAACATTTGCCCACCTCAGTATTGAAATATGTTATGTTACATTTAACTGGCAACTTATGTCCAATGTAAATGAGAAGCATTTTTCTCCGCTAGAAACTAGCCTCCAATATATGCATATATATATTTTTCACGATTTACGACAAACTAAGACAAAATCATGACCCAAAATTAAGCCATATATCATTCATTCCCAGTTTTAACAGTGTGTTCGAAAATGAATTATTCTGGTAAAAAAAAGGTATAAACTACGTTTTTTAAAGTATTTACGAGATCGAACCATGCTGGAGTCTTCCTTTGCTAGTCTGAAACTGATTGAAAAATATTCAAACTGTCCGTTGTATTGCATACTTAATTGTTTTTCCCGGTTAGCTTTGTTAGTGAAGTTGTTTTATACGAGATGGGTTTGCTGACCCCATGCCAAACGTTCCTCCTTCACCCGGGTTTGGGACCAGCAGTAACCCTAAAAGAGCTACAGCCGGAGTTATTGTATTACACATTTTAGTAAAATTATCCAGATTCATCAGTTTCTTTGTTTGATTGTGTGTGAATTGATTCGATAAATTTAGGACCCATAATTACTTCTCACTTACAGCTTATAAATGTCATTCAAAGTACACTTCTGTATAATATCATGTGATGGCATACAACATGCACGAAATTTTATATAACAAACTAACAAAAATTCTCTAAAATAAAAATTACCAAACTGTGAATAATAAGTTTTTTCAGTAGCACATAAATCACTAACAATAATCATATTATCACTTACAAGTGAATCTGTTGTACAATGTACAACATTTTTTGATATAAATGGTTTTTAAATTCATCTGGTAGATTTTGAAGTACAGGATTGTTGCTAAGCTCGGATGTTGTCAGAGTCCTATGAGGATATTTATTATGAACAGTATTTCGATTAGTTCTATGCAATGTTTTACATGCTTGGATATTTCCTTGTTGTTCGTCCTCTTCTTCTTCTGCTTCCTCTTCTGCTTCAATAAAGATGTTTTCATTTAAAAAATTAGTGTCATTAGACAATGTCGAAGTGCCATAACTGATTTTCGATGACGATGTTTTTGTGTAAGTTTTTAATGATTCTTCAGGTATTTGAATGTAAAATCCACGAGCTTTATTGTGAGATATTCGCAATGGTAGATTATATTGATGTGAAAGTCTGCTAACTTCATCTTTAATGCAGAAAAAAGTAAAAGCGATAATAACAACAAATATTACAAACCAATGTAACAATTTTAAACAGCGATCGACGATAGCCATCAGTGGAATTCAAGACGCACGTTTTCTCCTGTCTCTGACTCGACAGTTGGATTTATCTGCATCACAGGGATGGTGTTCACACAGGAACTGGAACCCAGAACCTTTTGTTACAAACTCCATCGAGTTGTCTACTTAATTACTGGGTTCAGACAGCCACTGACTTGAGTAATGATGTGAATTTGAATTTTGGTTCATACATGCTGGTTACTCGGAACTTCTTATTGATGTTTGGGACCAAAATCGATCAATCTATTTCGGTATATGTGCACCCTGTACAGATAGCCTCGATATTGCCAATAAGTCACAAAGCATTCAAGCAGAGATTATGTTGCACGGACGACAGTGGTTTTAGGTTTATAATGACTTTTTAAGATGAAGTATTGCATTATTGTAGTGAACGAGAACATAGGTGGAAATAATAAAATATCCTTAATCACAAAACGACATAATTGATATGTCTTGTCAGTTGAATGCTAATGGTTATATCTGGTCGTCACTGATTGTTGTGTCGGAATCGCTTTTCACTTATACTCGAAACGAGGGACCTCTGCAATTCCCACGACACGAAAGTAAGAACATAAAGACTAGTATCAGTGACGATTTATTAACCCCAAAACACGACGATGACCCTAGTCGAAAATGCGCTCATTTATGTATTGATTGTACACCTATTTTGATTAATAATTAAGATGGAATCACTAATATGAAAAATACTCAGTTATAACAAATCACATACTGAGCATAGTTCATGTCAATCGAATACAAGAATATCGTCTATTATATAGAATAAAAGGCGCGACTCTAATTTATGGGCGAGCCAATCAGAGGTGTTTTAGAGATTTCAAGGTTACGGCGCCAACTTCAGTGCTTAATGCTAACGCACGATCGGTTCACAGGGAATTTTGTACAAAACGTGATATTGAGTGGCTATAACAAATAAAACGGCGGGACTATAGTTTGTGGACGAATCAGATCTCGGATTTTAACGCGAAAGCCTTTCATCCATTTGGCTTAATAAATTTCTGACATTATAGCTGATGTCAGTTCGTGATGAAAACCCCATATATAATTCCTGAGGCAAATTACAACAATTATTGCGAACTGGATAATAAAAGCACCAGTAACAGTAGCTGCAGCCAGGCGCTAAAATATATACGGATGAGTGGAGAGCGTACAGACTCCTACATAGACTTGGTTATGTGCATCGTGTTGTTATCCACAAGTCGCATTTTGTGCACTCAACAACCGGAGTGCACATAAACAATAATGAAGCTATGTGGTCGAGGCTGAAAGAGTTTTTGAGACTTTATCATGGCTCCAGAGGTCGACTATTCTGTAGACATATGGATGATTTCCTCTACTGCATAGATTACGATTTTAGAACCTCTGAACCTCATTCTAACCTTGACAAGTTTTTGAACCACGTATAAGAATTGTATCCACTTTATTTCTTTGGTTTTGCATAACATATTTTTACTCTATACTCACTGTTTGTTGATTGGCTAATATTTCTCAAGGTCACTTAAGGTTCGCTCAAAGCTCGTCCATAAATTAGTGTCTCGCCGAATAAAACATCATACAAGAAAGCAAAACAAATACTACACTGAATGATCATCACATTGATTTAGAACGGAAGTAATGTTGAACAAAACTGATTAATAAATCAATCGAAAATTGACTTTTCTTCCCGTCACCTGAATAATCTCGTAGTAAATTCTGAGAACCATACAGTAAATTCCTCATTTACGAAATATCAATCAATTATTTCAAACTTGACTGTTCCTTCGCTTCCACACCAATCGTTCTCTTCTCTTCGATTTTCCTAACCTTCTGCCGTCAGTCATCTCACTTTCGATTGGTCATGCATGCTACATATATCTGTCTATATCAGTAGCACACATCATATTATGACAACAAAAGCTTAATAAAAATTATTTCATTTCTGTAATGCTTAATTACATCTTAGTTAAGTTGAAACAATTACTAATTTCAGCCAAAAAAAACTGCTTTTTCGACTATTCTAAAGACTGTACGAATTTGTTGGTATCAAATAATCATAATAATTTTTTAATTTGAAAAATATGGTGAATGTTATTTACCACCCGATTCATTTTATAAAAGAAGTGGAACCTAAAATTTTGTTTCGAAAGGTTTTGGGTACATGTAAAGCTAGTGCTTCTGTGAAGAGATCTATTTCTAAAAGATAAAATTGACAGATAATTGATGCTAGTAACTCTGTCCCTATGAACAGTTAAAGAATCAAGATCTATTCATCTACTTCACGAATCTTAAAACTCTATTGGTATGACAGTATAAAACATTAACCTCCGTCGCTTATAGTTAGTAATATGAATAATGGTTATACTCTACATTTTATCGACAGAAATATTAAGCAACTTAGTTGTTCAGACAATAGAGTACCAGTGTAGTAAATGCATAATTGTACGAAATTTAAAACTGATACTTTAGAGTAAGTTCTTAAGAATCGTTGATGAAAACTCATTAGAAGTATTCTAAATTAGTGCAAATCTATGTGAAGAAAAAAACTAACGACTGGCAAAGTCAACATGTATATACCTCCTCAATTGCCAATTTGAAGCTAAATACACAGATCGTTTGGCAAGAAACATTTGTTCACTCAGCAAGACTCAGTAAAATCATAGATCTTAATTTTTTTTTAAATACAGTATAAAGTAACCGTATATCATAGGACTGATCATTTGGTACGTTTTATAAGATCAAACCTACCCTAACGTAAGGCATAAGCATACATAACTTATACACTGCATAACTGCTGGCTATACGCGATCTAAAACCAAATATATGTATACAAAAACAGTTTATACAATCTATTTGTTTACAATGACCTTAATGACATTAACATCTCATTACTTCTCTTTCCATTATTCCTGGCTTTTTTTTATCATTGTTCATCCTTGAGATTAACATATTCCTTACATTATAATCAAACATTACCAACTTGAATTCTGTTACAACTATTCTTATTTGAGATTGTCTGTAATTCTTTTACAGCGAAAAAAAGTTACATTATGATCTATCAATATACAGTTGTATATTTGACCTTTGAATGAAACTGATGAAGAATTTATTTGTGTATCTAGGTAAACACTTAGATAAACTAGATCGAAAACTGGTTCTCATTTACTTGCCTGTTATTGATTGATTAATCCAGAACACTTATTTCAGTATTTAGGATTGAAATCAAGTATATAATCTTATGATTATAAGTACATATCGACTTCTATAGTAAAATAAAATGTCTTATTATTTAGTAAGGAAAACACTTACTGAAGTCTGATTCAAAGTAGCAGTAATATTTGTATTCCTGAATTCACCTCTCTTTTTTATGTATACTCGTCAATTCAGAAAGACTATGTCAATCTCTCGTTTTTCCTATCGATCAGTTTTTCTTATATTATTCAAGATTCATCAGAGATTGGTAAGATGAAATGATTTTGAATGTTGATTAGTACAAAGATCGATTTGTTGCTAAGTGAAAAGGATTATTCTGTCACTTTAATTAAACGCTTATATAACCTAAAAAACTTTATTTACTAATTATTTATGATAATTACGTTCATTTCCTTTTTAAAACGGTCTCATTTTTCTTAAAAACTTAGATGCTATAGTTTTCTTTGATATGATTTTTCTCTTCACTGCTTTATAGTTTCCTTCTCGTAAGTAATTTATATCATTTAAAGAATGTTACTTATTTTACGATCAAATAACTATTCATATGAACCTTTTCTATGATATTGAAATGTTATTTTTATTTTCAACTAAATGATTGTGGTAAAAGAAGTTTTTCGCATTAAATTCTCATATTTCATCATACTACTTAGTAATAAAAGTAGTTGTTAACACAAACCCATCCACTAGTTTCATGATTAACCTTGCAGAGAGAACAAATCATGATGATGTGTCTCAAATTTAAGGTTAGGCTTATTTAAATAAAATTTTCAAACCTGTCTTCCATAAATTTACTTGCATTATCCACATAGAAAGGAAATATATTAACTAGTACAAGTGTTAAGTGTTCAATTTTCACACAAAGAAGAGGAATCTCCCTGATTAATGATGTATACATCAGTGTTTTCTTTGTAGCCAACTATAAGTATCAAATCTGTTTTAAAGTGATCATCGATGTGAAATTATGGCCTATTGTTCAATAAAATTATAATTTAAAGCCCGTGAATCAAATTTAGAAAGTACACAATACTTACTCGTAATATCATCAAGCTGTTCTGAGTAGGCTTTACGTGTAACATCTAATACCACACTTAATCCTTCCTAAATTAAATAAAATTAATTATAATTGGAATTTATGATATATCAAGAAAATTATGTAAAATACCTTGATTGCAAAACATTTCTGTGTTCTCATAGCTAGCATCCCTTTTGACATTCGTACATCTTTATGTAGTACAGTGCACAAAATTTGTAAAATATGTTCATATTCCGAATCATGTAAAAGCTACAAAAAGTATAAATTACATTAAGCTTAAATTTCAAGAGCTTGACATAGATTTTTATATTAGGGTTCTATATAATAAATTACTAACATATATAACACAAATATAACAGAATGATATCGAACTGATAATGATTTTCGGTGGAACAGTTTTAAATATCTATATAAACCAGTGAAATCCATTCAGTCATATATCAGAGAAACCTCAGAAGTAACACAAAAAATTTAACAATGACACTGTAGATCTAAACTTTAACACCGAAGTTGTTAGTATAATTAGTATCTAGCTATCAGTGGAATCCAAAATGTGCATTTCATCCTATTCAGGACTGTTCAGATGACTATGCCTGGAATTAAGTGTTGATATTCAAACTGAAAATCAAAACCAGTGCCTTTGGCTTTCAGAGAAAACCATGTTATTCGCCGATCTACTGAGTTCAGATAACTGCTAGCTTTTCCATTACCAGATATACCAAAAACTTGTAATATGAATCTATATCGAACCAGTCCACTAAGAATAAACACATGGGAACAAAGACTGATCAACTATGGTCCTGAATATTAACAACAAGTAAATTTTTAGCTCAATGGGTGCTTTCGTTTTTACGTAGTTTAATTATGGAGCTTTTATTATCGTTCTAGATGGCATAGTTACTTCTTGTTTCATATACAAGTGATCTACATCCTTATGTATGCAAGATATCAACAAAAAAGAGTACACAAAACCAACCAACCAAAAGCAAGGCCATTAAAACAAACTAATTTAACACTTTTAGAACAACTGAGAAGATCACCTTTACATAAAGTAAGCACTGGGGATATATCCAGAATGACACTGAAAGTTCCTCAATTAAATCATCTATATCAGATAACTTAAAAATACCAAAAGTTCACATATTTTTCATTCTGATACTTGGAATCTGTACTGTTATTTTGGAGGAACAAGAGAAATTATTTTCTCAATATGCTTTTAGTTAAATAAAACAAACATTACTCCTTTGTAAATAGGATGTATTTCAGCAAAAAGATTTGAATATTCTATGGACTTATACCTAATATATTCATTGGGTACAACCGATTTTTTCATTTTAGTAAATTTATTTTCAAAAGATCATTACTGAGTTTCAGAAGCTAAATTCATTGAAAACGCTATTTAATATTTCTTTTCTTTTTCTCACAGTTCACCTACAGAAGTAGGTTTACTTACAACATAGGAACTCTACACTTTAATTACTCGTATTTAGTAGTTATTAAGTAAAGAATTGAAAAATGAATATCTCAAATTTTATGACAGATACCACTGTAATATTAAATTGTATGGTGTTACCTTGCTTCTATGATCGTAACAATTCGTAGATTTCTAATATAATAAAGCAATCAGGAATCGACAAATGGTAAGCATATGTGACTTAAACAACTGATAGGATTAATTTCTCAAGGGATATATATATGGTTCAGTTTAACTAGATAAACATTCTTTATCACTGTATTTCTCCTCGAGTAGTCAGGCTCGTGTATAAAAGAAGTGTGTATCAGTCTCAAATCTCAGAAAACACACGTTAGAACACGTACTTCATACAAAACTTTTAATATGCTTTCAATTAAAAATATAAATATCAATCCCTATTACCAACTAACATAATGCAGTTATTTGAAAGAATAATATTTTAGACTTCTATTTATATTAAATAACTAGTTTCGAATTAAGATTACCTCTTTATATGTTCTCAACAATGTAGATTTGACATCACCCATAGCATTATACAATAGTTTGACAAGATCTAACATATATTTAATTGCAATAACTTTTGTAATTCGAGATTCAGCTGCTTGAATGTTTACTGCTTTCTTTAAATAGATCATATCACTTTTAGGTAAACAGTGCTTCTCGGAACTGGGTATTATTAATGATGATGATGATCCAGGTAGTAAAGTTGAAGATTTTGTAGGCCTGTCAAATAGCAAACCTGTTGATTTTTCTTTCACTGTACTAATTAAAGGTGAATGAGTAATGCTATCTTGTGTACACAATTTAGTTGAACTGATTAAACGTTCATTCGATTTATTTGATCTAGATGAATCTGTTTTGTTATTGAATTCAATTGGATTCGATGCATTCTGTTTATTAATATTAGTATGACTTCTGTTATTGATAGTATTATTCCAATCAAACATTAAATTTGATGATGAACATATTTGAACACAAAGTGATAAAAGACTATCAATATGAGGGAATTGACGTAAGATATTCTGAACAGTGTAAAAAAAATGTCGGATTTATGTTCTGTTTTTTTTTGTAGTTTAACGAAATAGTAACAATCAAAAATTCAACTGAATATACTTCATACCTGTATATTAAACAAAGTTTCTGGTGAAGATATTAGTTCACGAACAGAAGCTTGTCGATTCAAAATTGTTTCCAAGTCTGTAGAGAAAAGGTTTAGTTAAATAAATGATTCAGAAACATTTGTACAATCAGTGGAGTTACATAATTTTATTAATAAACTCGGACAGAATAAGAGAAATGAGTTGAGTAAATGACATGAGTTCGCTTACGACATACAACATTTAAATACCAAATATATTCTCATGATAATTACATCACTAGTCAACATAACTAATTACTAACATAGTTTAGTAAAGATTGTAGAAATCCAAATGAAATGAAGATGTAAAATAATTCTTAAATTAATATCATGCTGAAGTTCCATTTCTAGACTAAGGTGGCCACAAACGAGTATGGGAATTGAGATAACCAGTTACATATTTAAGTTAATGGAAAGATAGGTTGATAGCAACCACGATATAAAGTAAACAATGTGTAATATGTTAAGTTCAGTTAATTAAAATCATAAGTTTTAACTAGAATTTTGAATAAGAATGATCTAACCTAATAAGGGCAAAAGTTGTGTTTCTAAAGTAATAACAAACTGTGAAGCATTATTTTTTAAATTCATAGGTCAGATTTTACCAGTTTGATAGCTATGATCTCAGAAAGTTTAAGAAAACTTTAGCATGTTTACCAGCAATTCATTTGAAAGTACTACCTGTAGCCTTGTATCAACCAGATGCCTACCAATCACATTATGGAACGACTTTATTTCTCGAAAACACTGACCCTAAAGAACCCATTTAAAAAATCTGAGACAGATCATTCACACTCTTTTGACAGCGTGACTTATTTGACACACTCGTAGAATGATATAAAAGTTGGCAGTAGCCTGAATAGAATACTTAAGGATGTTTGAATCCATTAATCAATTTATTAGTGTGTAATATGCAAATAATTTGATTACAGAACAATGTGGAACCAGGGGATAGCTCAGTTTTTTGTTGACTTTATTCAATATCACAGTTTTGAAAACTGAGATGAATAAAAATTGACTTTTTGTTGACTAATGTCCGGAAGTTCTACATCATTCTATGTTTATAAATCGATCAATGCAGATAGTTGCCTTTTGATCAGTACATAGCAACAGTCAAACCTATCAATAAGAAATATATTTTGCACATTGTGAAATCGAGTTTTAAACAGTGGGTACTTGTAGTTGACTGTCAGTGTATGCTATTAAATTTAGCGTATAGTTTGTTCCACAAAAGATAAACGATTTACGTTACATGGTTTAACAGGGTAAATGTAACTACTCATCATTTCCAAGTTTTTTTTAGAAAACTATAATTTTAAGTGTGTGTTTGTGGTGTTTGAATAAACTAATGATTCGTTTGTACTTGTTGAATGCTTGGTTTTGAATTCCAAACACAGTACATTCGTTTGTGCTTATCTAGTATTTCTTGATCCAATTGCGTTATATCTGGGATTCCCAGTTTGTACTATAATTCAAATACTTCTAATTATCACAGTTTTGTTGAAAAGTTCCAATAAAAACACTATATTTTGCAGATGATTATAGTTGGTGAATATGTTGTTAACAAACACAGAGGTTGTGACTTCGTCTAAATTTGTTTAATTTTACTATTTCCAAGAATGAAATGACCATAAAAGTGTTCTCTACGACTGGAACTGGTAAACTTTTTATCAGTACTCCTTCAGTTAAACGATATTACAGTCAAATTTAGTATGAATATTATTGGAATCCATAAATAGATATTCACTTTTATTAGTTACTTTAATCTTACTAGAGACATACCACATGGAGGTTCCAACAAGTTGGCTCGTAATAATCGAGCACCACTAGCTGTACTGGTGAAATCTATTGCTGAATAAAGTGTATCTTTGGCTGAATAGTCGTAATTATTTCTAACCAGACGTAAATGATTTGCACTTTTGAAATCTAACAGTAAGTTGATTGGGAATAAAAATAGCAACAAAAAATGATCAATCTTTCAGAAGCTTATTGACTTATTAGATTTTTAAAACAAAGTTTATAAATATATGTATACATCAACTGCTCACTAGTGACTGACTCCACGAGATACTCCTGGAGTTCTAGTGAGAAGCCGTCATCAGTGGAGTTCAACCAGGTCTGTTGAGATATCAGCTCACCGAAGACAATGGTGTACGGTGGAGCAACTTCGCGGATTGGTTGAAGTTAGACATTAACACTGTTGGATGCCGGCTCAGCGGTCTAATGGTTAAGTGCTCGCGCGCGAGACCAGTCGGTCCTGGGTTCGAATCCCGCAGGGTGCGGGGTCGTGGATGCGCACTGCTGAGAAGTCCCACACTAGGGCGAAACGGCAGTCCAGTGCTTCCAGGTTTTGAATGGCGGTCTAGCTTTAATTGACTGATGATTTCAACTTGTGGTATACATATACGTTATATCTCAAGGTGAATATTTAAGTCGTTATTAGAACATCCACTCTGTAAAATAGTTATTTAAAAGTCTATATCGGATAATCTAAAATAAGATCATGATTAAATCACTATTTACTTTTCCGATATTTGGATGTTTTGTCTTTATGAACCTATCTTTAGTATCCTGAAAAGTACAACAAAATAAAAAAGGTGGAAACTGTGCAATTCAACGACCTTCACGAGCCTCCTGTACTAAAAATTATCATAGAATATTTAGTGTCTAATTTCAAGAGAAAATTACCAAAGTTCTAGTGAAAAAACTGCAACCAATGGAGTTCAACCCTGCGAAAAGTAAGGTGGATACACACCGACGGTATTTGAAAGTTGTTAAGCAATATTGCGGATTGAATGAAGCTAGAAATGTAAACCACTGGATACTAATTCAATGGTCTAAATGTTCAAGAGACCATCAACAGTCCTAAATGTCTTTAATCCGATCTTTCGTTGGGTCATAGATCCATATTACTGATGAACCTAATACTTGCAAGAAGCCCAATGACTTTGTTGTGTATTCGACAATGAAAAACTAGGTATTTTTGTGCCAATAAATAAGTGTTCACAACTAGTAAATACTAAATCCTTTCGACCCCATAAACAGCTACGTTTATAAAACACAATAGGTTCGGTTCTCGTCTCGTTGTTTTCATTGTCTTCATTTAAGTACCGTAGTAGATTAATGGATCATATACACTGTTGTGACCGGCGGTGTCCCAAATTTGATCTTGATACACGTTGTGCTACGCGCTAGCGCACCAAATGATTACTTGAGCGAGAAAGTTTATTAGGCTACTGAATAAAGTGCACGAATACTCATTCATATGTATACCACTATAATCCTTAGGAAATTCAACCATTTCTTATCCAATGAAATGCAATTGTCCTTTAGGCCATTACTGATTACCGTCGATTGGCCTTATCATTAGGCTACTTCTAATTGGCTCTCCATATCATACACAATAATTTTAGTCGATATTCCTCAAATGAGAATTATCAGTTTGTGAAATCTGTACTAAGCCAATAACTAAAATATGGCTATGTTCATGGATATCTCATACATAAGTTTTGGTATTCAGTTTCGTGAAACTGAGAACAAGAAAGCTTACTAAAATGATTAAATCGTGCTCACAAAGTCCATATATCTTATTTCTTTATACATTAGGTGGATGTAGGTTGCATCACCTCGATAAATGCATTGCTAGATAATTATTTTATTGTATCAAATCAATTGAAAAATTGGATAGTTCTACTTACCAATCATAGTAGATTTAACAGATCCTGTAAATGAGAATTTCATTGATTTCGGAGCATAAATAAGTCCATGAATTTCTTCAGCATAATTAAGTAAAGCAGACAGTGCTGAAAGAGCATAAAATCTAAATAAAAACAGAAATTATAGGCAATGAGTATGTTGTATACTTCTGTTACTTAGCAACAATCTTCGGAAGCAAAATTATATATATGTATATTGAAATCTCAAACCGATTTAAGTTAGACAACCATTGAAAACCTGGGTGAAACTGGATGACCATTTCATCACAGGATGGAACTCCTCAACACTAAGTATCCATGACCCAACAACTTGAGATCGAATCCAGGACGGTCTGCTACTTGGATTAACGTTTATTCATTAGACCACTGAAATGGCATTTAATGGTACATATGGATGAATCTTAATGTTTTAAAAAGAGCAACACCACACAATCCAAAGCGAAGATACATTCTCTCTTTATTCAACAGACTTATCAGACAACAGTTTCTACTGATGAATTACAACTGGACGGAGCTAGAAAGGATTGCCCAGGACAGGGTTGGATGGAGAATGCTGGTGAGCGGCCTATGCTCCTTCACGAGGAGTAACAGGCGTAAGTAAGTAAGTAAGTTTCTACTGAATAAATTCGAATCATTAGTTATGTGCAGATTTATGAACTAATTTGTAGTTCAAGAACTTCCATTATCCTAAATATCAGTACTACCAAACCGTTTAAGATGAAATATATCAAATAAGTTCCGGCTCCTTGACTGAAAAGCTGAACACAGTGGGACTATTTTCATGAATACAACCGTCATAATTGTACAAATTATTTAAAATAATACCTTCATTTATTTATATTAAGTTATTACAACATGAGGCGTGTATATAGTGTTAACTGAACAGCTTTTGTCTGTTTATCTGAATACTTCTAATATTTGTACGAAGCACATAGGTCACAGCAAATTCACTTTCTGGAAACTAGAAAGACGGTTAGACAAAAAGGTGTAAAACTGTAGTTACTTTTATTTAACTAAGTGTTATTTTGAAATAACATGAATAAAGAAATGATCAGAGAAAAGCGACGCCTGAAAACTTAGAAATTATAAAGTGTGTCACAGTGAATTCTACTTTGTTGAATGCTTTTTATAATTTAATTTGATAGATTGACTGTTTATTTAAAATATTTTTCAGTTTGTAAAGCATCATTTTTAGTAATTGAAATAAATGCTTTAATTGCTGACATTACTGTTTCGCTTCATAAGTCACTTTATTTACATGAAGAACACAAGCATTTCTCTATCATCTTAATACTCAGTCTGAAAATAAGGCAGAAAAATTGGTGAAGTCTTCATTGAATATCTGATTCACTTCTCTGGATAATGTTTGTCTACTTGTAGTGAATTATATGTGGGGAATTTTATGTTAAGAACCACAAAGGTAAAATTTTTTAGGGTTGCTAATGTTAGATGGGTAAGATTGATTCCTAAATCTTCATTTTTACAAGTATCCACTAGACGTTCGCCTAAAGTTCACAAATCAAATCAACGTATTGACTCCATAGGATACTTATAAACATGAATGGCTTAATTAAGAGAGAAAGATGCCCTCTATTCCTGTTTTCTATATTTGATACTTTTCATTGTTAGCATCCCAGCTATACTGGTGGAGATGCATGTTATATGAATACTTGTAGTATACAAGTCATAAAATATGTATTCCGAACATGCACGTAAGCATAAATATTATAGTTTGAAATGTATTTCCTCAAGTGTACACTATATGTATACCGACAATCCACAGATCGAATTGACCTATGCATCCCATATCATACACATAGGTATAAGTCCATGTGTGTATCCGATACGAGTATTAACAGTGTTAATCCGATGTTACTATAGAGTAGTGGATTAGGTTAATTTCCACTGACCGCTCATGTCAGTTTATGAGATAAGTCCCACTACCCAATGGCCAATACTCGGAAATGTGATTCAGATTTCACCTCTTCTTTACGCTTAGAGTTAGACTGAAAATCAAAATTTCGGCATACTTTGATCAAGTTTGTGACAAAAAGCTAACAAAACTAGCTTGACCATATACGAGACAACCATTAGAGAGAAGTTTAATTGTAAGAGAACGATGAGACTAGTATTTCTCTAATAGTCACTGAAAATTAACTACTTGTTAACCTACACTGAAGTCTAATTTCGGTATACTCAAGCATCTAAATAAACTTGATTAGTTTTGTAAAACAATTACGATTAATAGGGTACTCCTCTCTAACCTTTGATGTAAATTTAACCCTTTGATTTCAGCTATCATCATCAGCATCCTCAAGGTTTTGAAAGAGGAACCATTTCAAAAGCATTAGAGGGAATGTAGGTACGAAGATAATATATTCAACATGTTATTTTATTTAGGTCATATTTTACTGAATATGACTTTTTGTGCTTCCATCTAAGCGGGATGAACTGAGTTTGTTTGTATTCATTATTTGTTACGTCACCATTACTAATCAAATGAACTATATTCGGCAAATAATGAAAAATTATTACCAAAATATAACCAGATTAAACGAAAAAACTCGATAAGATCTAAAAAACCGCTTACTTACTTCTCTTTAATAGCGTATATAGATGGAATGTAATGTGGATGGCATAATCTTCTTAAATAGTGTAAACCTATCGATAACAATGATGGCGAATTTATTCAATAATTCTAACCATGGTTTGAAGAAAATCACACAGTTTTGATTGAATTAGTTTATTCAGCAATTTAATTGTGACTATTTCTTATAACAAGCTAAGTTTTTGTATCATCAAATGAATAGTGTGCCAGCCAGGACGCCACCTGACGACTCAAACATTTGTAGTTAACAAAATATATAGCCCTTGGTACAATCATTTTTATCCAGCATTATTTTTACGAGAAAATGATACATTATACATTAGTTTCTAGAAGTAGCACAGCTATAAGAGGTCATATTATTCATGTAAGAATTACAAATCAAGGAAAACATGAGTAAAATATTCGATGTGGTAGTGTATTGAACGCTACTCACAAAATGTTTTGTAAGCAAGGTATGGCGGAACGTGGCGTCGAAGTAGCAACAATTGACAGACAGAGTGATGAGTCTCAGTGAATAGAAAACACGGTGTTAGCAAAATACTTTGGGACCAGTCAAGAAGACAGTTCAGATTGCAGAACACGCTAGAAGGTGCTAAAGGACGATTAAATGTTGTGTATATGTATTATGTAAATACTTTGTAATTCGAAGTTAAGGTACATACCCTCTGACTATTTTTGTGGATTACAATACTATTATTATTATTAGTTGCACTGGTATTATGTTCAAGTAACCAACTATCTATTCAACCAGACAGATAGACAACTCAATCAAAAATGCATATAAATAATTTTTTCAGAGTTAATCATCTCAATAATTACTTATATAGCTAAAAGAGAATGATACACTTTCTTTTCAAATAATTATTTAATATTATGTAAAGTTGATACGTGTACTTGATTCCCGTATGAAGTTATTATACAAATGTAATAAGTTAACTTTACGATGTAGGTGAATTGTTAGTATGTCAGTTTTGTCTAAAACTGTTAATATTATTCAACAACATAATATTTCTTACTTCAAAATATCCCAGTCTCCGAGGGTATTGCGAGCCAGGCCTTCTTGCACGACTCAAGAGATAAAAGAAACAAGCATGGATAGTGATCCAAAGAAAAAGTGAGCCAAATGCATTTTAGATCCGTTATTGAATGTCTTTCTGCTTTTACATTAGTTACTGTTATACGTTGATCTTGGAATTATTATTTCCTGTCTATCTTATTTTCAGCTAGCTTTGCGCTCACTGATCTAAGTGTAAGTTTCTACTTCAGCAAACATTTTTGTACTGTTACTTCGTACATAATACACATTTCATATTGCACTATAGATTCACAAGTCAAATGATTGCTGTTACATTAAGCATTCATTTGTCTACTATTAACACTTTAGCTGTTTTGGTATCACGTTAATTACACAGAAGAGTAACGTTTCTTTTCTTTTTGTAAAACACTGTTAACGAAAGTCAAACTTCCATGTGATAAACACAACAAAAGGCCAATTACAATCGCAAATAATATGAAGACGTAAATTCTTAGCGGAAAATTTATATGTCCTTTTTAATTTTAATATAACGCATTAGTCTTCTAACTACGGTAATGCTTATCGGTTGAGTTCGTTAACACAAAGGCTAGTAAGATAGGACTACGTCGATACGGTAAATATACTATGACTGCGTTCTGACACTATATTATCATCTAGTAAGTGTTCACTTACTTCCACGGAAAATGTTTACGCAACCTAGGTGTGTGTGCGACAACAGACATGTTAATGTTGACAACTATGGCGTAAATGTTTTAGGATTGCGTTAAATTTGCGAAATTGACTGAAAAAAGAGAAATATGGATATATGCATAGGGAATTCTAGCTAATTTCCACTAAGTCCATATACTTTCCAGAAAAAAGGGACATCTTGAAGTTTCTCTGAAGAACGTAAATAGACTTTTCAAAATTTTTGAAAAATATTAGGTGGATTTCCCCAAAAATGCGCTAAAGTTTTGGGATTTTGTCAAAGAACTAAATGGATATTTTCAAAGATTTAGAAAATTCTGTTATCCCCAAAAGTTTTGGGGATTTCTCTAAAATAACTTGGAATTTTAAGGAAAAACCCCAGACCAGGGGAAATTTCAGGGCTTTTTCGCATTTCCCCGAAATTTCCCCAAAATCGAGCGACCGGCATATCACTAGTTTTATTATCATTCAAGGAATCACTTCTCTACATATCTCAAAAGTTATCTAGTGACACAGTTCTCTGTCAAATGACTAAAATGTGATAAACTGTAAAATAGATTGACAATCCTTTTGAGAATAATTAAAAACTTGTGATATTATGTCAACTTATAGTAAATAACTTTGTCGATTGATAATCTTCTCAATTACCTTGTTTATCATTGAAGTGATTTCTGTTAACACCATTTAATGTCATACCGTTGCGTAAAGACAGTAGGATTTTCACAAGTTTCCTCATACAACTATTTGGATCCAAACCAGATTTAGGAAGAATTATCTGAACAAAGTAATGTTATATTTGTTGATCATGTAACATATTGATTATAATAAATGAAGCAAATTGTACGCTAAGGGATATTTCATAAAAATCTTTGATCATTGTTATATCTTGAAAAAGCTGATTTTCTTGATACAACCGCGTATAACTGAGCACTGGAACACCAAACCCTTCCAAGTCGCAATAAGAAGACAGAAGACTAACGAAAGGAATATTATTCCAAACAGTGTCAAACATAGTACAAAATTATCAGGTATTTATAGTTTTTAGTGGGAACGAAATCATCATTACAATCTTCCAATCCGCGTACAGAGGGTTATTAGCATTATCCAATGGGGAAGCTACACGTTGGAATTCTAGAACATTCTTCCGACAGGTGATTGGATGGAACGTCTTCGGCTCCTTATGAGCCTCTTACAGCTTCCTCGAGTTCACCGGTGGTCCGTCGTCACACCTCCCCCCTTTAAAGTCCGTTGTGTAAGATTTTTTTCTTGGATCCACCTGAAGCTTGGGTGTCGCATTCCTCTTGCGCTCCATTACTCTCGAGGGTTGTACAGCTTTCTCTCTGCGTCGTTTGTCTTTTCGATATTTGCGCTCATGATGGTTCTTCGGGGATGAATCTACGAGCAATTGAAATGGAAGCCGGTTTTCTGTGACCACTGTACTATCATTTCTTTGCATTTGATTTATATGTCTTATGCATTTCCCGACATCTTTCCGGACTAGGTACAACACATTTCCGATTCGACGTTCTATGACACCTGGTTCCCACTTCTTATTACCTTGGTACGATCTGACAAGTACCTTCTCACCCACCTGGAAGCTACGATTGACCTTACGATTTTCATTCGTGGGTTTATTTGTCTTTCTGGGCGGCAACATACTGTTAAAAACTGTCCGGATTTTTCTTCCGAACATACACTCGGCCGGAGACTTTCCTTCTGGTACTGCCGGATTAGGGGTAACTCTGTAAGACATCAAGAACTTATTAATCACTTGTTCCGGGACACCCTCACCTCCCCCTTTGACCAGAGCTCTTTTAATTGTATCCACGAATCTTTCTGCCTGGCCATTCGACTGAGGATGGTATGGAGGAGATTGTAGATGCAATATGCCATTCTCGTTGCAGAAGCGTTTGAAGGCGGATGACATGAACTGAGTACCATTGTCGGTCACTAAGATCTCTGGAACCCCAAAACAGGCAAACAATCCTGACAATCTTCTTATGGTACTCTCTGAAGTCGTATTCGGCATGTCATAAACTTCCGGCCATTTTGTGAAAGCATCTACAACAACTAAGTAATTCCTGCCTTGTATCGGTCCGGCGAAATCAGCATGTATTCTTTGCCAAGGCCCGTCCGGTTTAGGCCATGGTTGTGGCTCAGCTCTCGTTGGGTTCTTTGCAGCCTCTTGACAAGACCAACAGCTGCGACATTTTTGCTCTATCTCATGGTCCATTGACGGCCAGTAAGCATAGCTACGAGCTAGTGACTTCATTTTACTTATCCCTGGATGCCCGCTGTGGAACTGTTTAATGGCTTGGTGTCGAAGATTTCTGGGGATAACGATACGATGGCCAAACATTATACATGAATCGACAACTGTTAATGACTCTCGTCGACGAAAGTATTGTAAGAGTTCTCCGTGTAATCTAGATGAAGGCCATTTATTGAGTATGCAATGGCGAACAATCTTTAATACATTATCCTTCTTGCTGGCCTCTTTAATGGCTTCAAATGTGACCGGGAGTCCGGAAACTGCGTCTGACAATATTTTGTGAACCTCGGCCTCGACATCTATAGCAGCTACAAGCACCTCTTCTTCTTGTTTTTCATGCAGACCAATCAATCTTGAGAGTGCATCTGCCTGTCCGAAATCCGTTGTTGGTTGATACTTTATCTTAAAATCATAACCCAGCAGTGTGGTAGCCCATCTCTGTAGCCGGTTTGCTGTATATACCGGGATGCCTTTTTTAGATCCAAAAACTGTCAGTAAAGGTTTATGGTCTGTAAGTAAGGTGAACTGCCTACCAAACAACATCTTGTGGAACTTTTTTACAGCAAATATAATCGCGAGGGCTTCCTTCTCTATTTGACTGTAGTTTCTTTCAGTCATAGTCAGTGATCTCGCAGCGTGAGCGATTGCTTTCTCAGAACCGTCAGGGTAGGCATGTGAAATTACTGCTCCAATTCCGTAGTTCGACGCATCGGCTGCGACTATAATTGGAAGATCGGGATCATAGTGTGTAAGGAGAAGGTTCGATGACAGAAGCTGCTTCAGTTTTAGGAATGCTTCTTGACATTCAGTTGACCAGAACCATTTAGTATCCTTTTTCAATAAGCAATTAAGAGGAGCACGATGGCGATGCAGATCTGGCAGAAAAACTCCATAATGACTAACCATTCCCAGGAAAGAACGTAAAGTTGACACATCCGTGGGTGGAGGCATGGACTTAATGGCTTCGACATTTTCAGGATCAGGTTTTCTCCCGTTTTTATCAATTATGAATCCCAAATACCGGACTTGCTCCATGTAAAAATCACATTTTTCGGCACGCAGCCTGAATCCATAATCTGCTATGCGTCTGAGAACCGTATCCACCTTATTCTCTAAATCAGCATAGTCTGTACCCATGATCAATATATCATCGAGATAAGCCGCGGTACCAGGAATGTCTTGTAACATAGTGTCCATAACTTGTTGGAAGATTGAAGGGGCGGTCTTTACTCCAAAAGGAAGTCGGTTATATCGGAACAATCCCTTGTGAGTGTTTATTGTCAAGTAATGCTTACACTCATCCGCTACCGGAATCTGTAGATAAGCGTCTGATAGGTCTAATTTCGCAAAATACTTACCCCCATTCAGTTTCGCAAATAAATCCTCTGGTACCGGCAATGGGTATTGATGGGCTTCAAGCGCTTCATTTAATCCAGTTGAATAATCTGCACATAACCGGATACTTCCATTAGGCTTTTTAACAATCACTATTGGAGCTGCCCAATCAGAGAAGTTTACTGGTTCGATTATTCCACTTCTTTGCAGACGCTCTAATTCTTGTTCAACAATAGGTAGCGCTGCATAAGGTACCGGACGTTTTGGTCTGAAGACGGGGGTGACTCCCGGTTTAAGAATCAATAGTGCTTTAACCTTTTTGCATTCCCCCAACTCTTCCATAAACACTTGACTGTGTCTTTCCAATACAACACTCTTCAGATCCTTTTCCACCGGTTTACTGGTTCTCACTGCGCTGCATATGTGGTTAATGGGGTGATTTGCTAATTGAAGTGCTTCTATCAAGTCTAGACCTAGCAAATCTAGTCCTGGATTCTGTGTAAGATATAAAGTTGCATTCGTTTTCGCATTTCCTTTCGAGACTGTACAACAAACCTCTCCAACAATATTTAGTTTTCCTCCAGATGCGCTGTGAGCTAACTGGGTCGTTGGGAGCACCTGTGGTTTACCGATAAGATTCCAAGTTCTCCGACTAATAAGTGTGATGTCAGAAGCGGTGTCGAGTTGCAGGCGGGCACGCTTTTTATTTATATCCAAGTTACATACTTTCTTTGGCGGCAAATTCGTGCTCGATTATGTGATACCAATATTTTGTTAGTTCGAGCACTAAATCTGTATTTCTTCGAGTAGGGTTTCAAAGAATGTCGTTTATGGGTTCTTTTTCTGCAGCAGTTTTCTTTATGTCCCTTGCGATGACACTTGCTACAACAATGTTCTTTATATGGGCAGAACCTTTTATAATGCCAACCACCGCAAGACCAACATGGAGATGAAGGCTGATTATCTGTGTGCGATACCTTTCTTGAGCGAGAATCGTTCTTTCCGCTTACAGCACGAACGTATGGCAACTGGCCATTATTTTCGACCATCGAAGTGTCATGCTTTAGGTTTACCAATCTCTGGCACTCTGCGGTTACTTCTTGTAGTGTCATATTCGGACATTGTTCAATTTTACTCAAAATTCTAGTTCTAATATCGGCATCTTCGGGAGATTGGAGGCTGCACACAAATACGAGACACTTAAACTGGTCTTCTGTCATTGCTGATAGTTTGAAGCGCTCACATTCACGGTTTACTAGACCCGCATGCTTCACCCAGTCATCATCACCTGCTTTTGTCATCTTGAGACATTGATAACGAATATTAAACAAGGATGACTGTTCAGCAAAGATTTGCGACAAAATTTCAATCGTTGCATCGAAAGAAAAATCTCTTGGATTCTTTGGAAGGATAAAGTTACTGTAACGTTCATGTTCAACAGTTCCAAGTTTTCGCAAGAGTATTCTGACCTTAGCGGCGTCATCAAGTTTTTTGAGGTCGACCTTGAACAAATCTTCATATTTCTTGAACCAAGTTTCAAAAGTAATGCCAGCTGAACCATCAAAATTAAATTCATGGATAGAATTAACAATCTGGTCAACATGAGATTTGAAGGGATCATCTGTAACTTCTTTTTGATCCAGGTTCATTTTCTGAGTTAGCATCTCTAGCATGCGCATCTGGAACTTTTCTTGACGTTCCAATAAGGCTTCAAATTGTTCCAAGGTAAATGACATATTGATACAATAACCCGTCGCCAGATGTTATATCTTGAAAAAGCTGATTTTCTTGATACAACCGCGTATAACTGAGCACTGGAACACCAAACCCTTCCAAGTCGCAATAAGAAGACAGAAGACTAACGAAAGGAATATTATTCCAAACAGTGTCAAACATAGTACAAAATTATCAGGTATTTATAGTTTTTAGTGGGAACGAAATCATCATTACAATCTTCCAATCCGCGTACAGAGGGTTATTAGCATTATCCAATGGGGAAGCTACACGTTGGAATTCTAGAACATTCTTCCGACAGGTGATTGGATGGAACGTCTTCGGCTCCTTATGAGCCTCTTACAGCTTCCTCGAGTTCACCGGTGGTCCATCGTCACAATCATAACATATGTTAATTATATGACACATTAGATACTGATACCTTCTAGTCATAATTTCAGATAGAGATGTCCCAATTTATTCTGTTAAGCTTTGTAAACAGTAAGTATTTTTATAAGAATTGCACATTTTTCTTTCATATACAAGTCAATCGAGTGGAGAAAGAAAAAAACAAAACAGAAATTATGCGGATAATTTTCTGTAAAACTAAATACCTAAACCACATTTAACATCTAGTGAAGATCAAATTCCATTTTTCAGCAATATTTATGTTGAAAAATGGTCAATTCATTCATGATGTCGTGAAAATTGTGCTCTTAATTTCCTGAACCATAAATAAATGCTATTTGAAAATAAACTTATAAAAGTCTGATCCCATTCAAATTCATTTTAAGATCTGACCTTACCAACAGTTATAATAATTCACCTTCATTTTGTTCTTGTCAGTCTACATTGAAAATAATTCTTATAATCTAGCTTCATCGGTATTTGATCAAAAAATGGAACCAAATCACAATTACTAAATATTTCATTCATCAGTATGACTGAAAAATTCATTCCCTATGCAGCTATGGATTGACATTTTGTACCGATTATTCCGCGTTTACAGTTTACTTTACAGAATTGCTGAAGTAGGATAACCGTTGTAAGCCAAGTGGTATTTAATAACTGTTTTGTCCTGGTATGGGTCTCCTGAGTAGTAATAATTTATGACCCCACCAAGGGCTGGAACCATGTCTCTTAGGTCTAGAGGTTAACATTTAAACTTCAGGCAATTGAGTTAACAGCCAGTGGCTTGCACTTTTAACTTCAGCCAGTTCAAAGTATTGTGTGATCATGCTTCGTTGCCAATGGGGATATTAGTATCAAATCGGACATGGTTGAACTCCAATGGTCACGGTTTTTCATTAAAACTTCAGTAATTACCCTTCAACATTGGTCACCAGTGAGCAAATGATTAGTGTTAGCCTGACGAAGTTGTGAAGATGGTTGCATTTTTAACAATCATAATGGACTAACTATAGTTTTACTTTGATTCTAGCTTCAATCGGCTCATGAATCCCACAGTTAAATTACTACAATCTCTACAAACTCCCATTCTGATTCCAATCACTTTAAATAATCCATAGATTCCCATGAATCTTAACATTTTATATACACTATATTTATAGGCTGTAGTGCGATGAAGATACCATGATTCTTTTATTAACCCTGTTCAACTGAATTTAAGTCTAATCGGACAAGGCGAGGAAAGTAAAAATATTTGAACCTGAATGTTTATTTTTTAGTGGATTACATTGTATGTATTTAGTAAGTATTAATCATATGGTTATTTGAGGATATTTTTATGTAACACAAACTGAATGCCTTTTTATTAACTTTTGCCATTTATTAACTGAAAGTGTTAAGATTTTCAAAAAGATTATCTAAGTGAAAAAACACCGTACAAACTCACTTCTGTAGGACAATATAAAAGTAGTTTTACAAGTGTTCGACTATAACTGCTAGTATCACGAAATTGTGATAATTCAACATTTGCTGAGTAAATATCGATAGTAGCTAGACCTATTTCTCCAGTTGATTGACCTCTTCCTTCAACTATACCTTCATAGGAAAAAAATTCAAAGAATATTTATCAAATTTAAATGGAGCAAATACATTTTAACTGAGGTTGTAGGAAACTCTAGAATCAAATATAAAACAAGATGTTACTCAAATATATTATGTAAAAGGCATTGCATGTTAACCAGCTAAAATACTTCACTTATAACCATTTTAATTTAATTTAAATAAAGTAAATTATTTGTAGTCAATCAGATATTAACTAACTGTCATAATAAATAAAACGTTTATAATTTTTAAAAGTTGTCGTACAAGTGAGCGAAATCTCAAAGTTGTTCTTTCTCAACTGTTTTGACTTTTATGAAGAGGATTACAATAACTACATTTGTAAAGCAATTAGTCTCTTTGACAAATATTGATAGTGTAATAAGAAGATGAAGGTTATCAGAACTATGTGATGATATATTAGCGTAATATATTTCGGACAATCTGATCGCACATATACTTGTTAAGAACATTTATACATAAAAATAAAAGATCAACTAGACTAGAAATGAAAGGTAAGAGGAGATAAGGATAATAAAGAAAATAATCGTGTGAAAACAATTTGAAACCTCATCACTCTGGATAATAAGCTAATATTACTAAGTATATGTGTGATCAAACTGTTCGAAATGTATTCCGCCAATATATCACATAGTGTTGATAATCTTTGTCTTCTTATTACACTATGGAAACCACATTTGTTTTACTTTTTTTCAAATTCCCTTTATGGTTTACGATAAAAATTCATTAAAAATAATTGAAATGCAAAAATACTGTTTCATAACTAGAAATAACCTAAGGAAAAGTCTTTTCTCAGTTTATGCAGTCATTTATAATCATATTATTTACACATGATCAAAATTAAAGCTGCTTAAGTATCTATGTCTTGTCCTCAAGATTATAATTAGTATACAGAAAACATATAAAATACATTAATATTTTAGTAAGATATGTTTACAAATAAGCCATTAAAATTTCCTCGACTAGTTATTCAGTACGTTAACGATTATTACACAAATTACAGAAAACATCTACAAATGGTGGGCTAGCTCCAATTGACTCATGATCTCAACTATTGGAATTACTACAATCTCCACAAAACCCATTCTGATACAAATCAAATTAAGTTCAACCTACGTCCTGGACAATCCCTAAATCCGTATAATCTGTAAATACAGGAAATTGGAAATAAATAACGAGCACATTACTAAAATTTAAACCTGTGTATTTTCTTTTATCAAGTAAATACAAACTCGTTAAAAATATAACTTTAATTCAGTGATCAATATAGAATAGCGGATTAAATAAATGCACAAAACAACAATAGAACATCGTAATTGAACATGTCTCAACTGACAAATGAGTAATTAAAATGTGAAAAATATCAACGCTAAAACTATTAATCCTAACCATAAATACCTAATCCTAACTAGGAATAATTTGGAGATACTTGTAAATCTGTTCGGGTTCTTTTAAGTGTTAAATAACATATGCAAACTATCTCCACTAGCATGAGTTTATATGTCGTTATTTTTCAATTTTTAGGAGTAGAGATCTGTAGAAAACATTAATAAACACTCATTGACTGTGTAAAATCTATTCATTTTTTGCAGTATTATTTTCTATAAACCACTCATTTGCAAAGGCGTTTCCTGATTGGCTGAGAGCCGGCTGAAAATTAGTCAGTTATTTTAAGCTCATCCTCCTACCATACTGGTACTATTGATATTAGATTAAGAGCCAGGTTTTGGTTGCTTTATTTATTTAAAACCATTCAAACTCAGATAGATTGATCGGATATGTCGTACTGTAACCATAAGCTCGAGTCCACTGTTTTTCGAACAATATAAAAAGCAATTAAAAATATTTGATACAAGACAATTGATTTAAATTTTCACATTTACATAGAATAATGTGTGGGTAATCCATTATGATATCTCATTGAAAAATATATTTAAAAGCTTGTAATTTTTATCGCCCGATAATTATCTCCAACGCATCAAGAATAATAACTCTGAGAAGAAAATAGAAGTCTGATAAGCAACCAGGGGATGACATCAATTCATAGACTGAATCAGAAAGTCTAATGGTAGATACATTGGAGATATGTTAACTTAATAACTATAAAATTAAGATGATAAATAATAAACAAAGTAATGTTTAATTCGTTATATCAGTTTCAGAGGAATTGGGATCAAATGCTTCCCGAAATCAGTATAGAATTAAGATGTTTGCTGAATGCAGTAAAAGACTGGGACAAATTTATCTAATGTTTCATGTTCTTAAGATCTTTGATAGTTTTACCAGAAAACATATTACTCATTTCTAGGTATTCTGAATCCCAGACAGAAATGTCACTTTACGTTTTATGCTTGCTTAAAATTGTGTATATTGTTAAACAAATATTTGGTGTCCAATGTCAACCTAGTTGCTGAAAAAGTACTCTCTTTTGAGTGACCTGCCTCTCAAACTATTAAACTGACAGCCTTCTTAAGTCTTAAACAAGTATCTAAAAATTACTGCGAAGTTATTCTAAGTAAAGATACACTGTCAGATTTCGCGAAAAGTAGCTTCAGGTAACAATAAAAATTAAGGTTATTCATTTAACACGAATTATGACATACCACAAACTTTTTCTGATAGGGTATCTGTTTTCTTGTGGGGATAAAAATCAAATGACTATTGTTATGATGCACAACAGTTTGTATAAGTAGCTGACCAATAGAAAACCCACTGCCAGAAAATCTATGGCATCGTATTTTGATACCTTCTGGAAAGCCAAGACAAACTTTTAGACCTTCTATAATTCACTACCTATTTGTGTTTGCAAGTGGCTCTGTTTACTGTCAAATAAGTTTCCAGTTAAAGATGAGAAGCCAAATAAAACCCAATACCTCGATTATTTTGCACAATTTCTGTTCACTTTAAAATATCGGTACCCCGTAAAAAATTACAAAAGAGCATATCTATTTGTTTAAGAAGAAATCTACCTGATAACTGGCGTCGTTCTACTTACAGCCAGAATGAAAGTTGCATTAAAAAAGAAGTAATATTTATAAAAACTGTGTACGACCGAAATTAAAATAACTCTAAGTTGAACTCAGTATTCTGGTCCGGGATATTTTAAGGAAATAATCAAATATCTAGATTATCAATTAGAACCAGATTCACAAAACAATTATATACTAGACCACTGTCCAACAGATCGGAGCACCAAAAGGAAGACTGAAGTTATTTAATTTCAGTCACTGAAAGTTTTACATACATAATTCGCCTTTCAATGTTTTTCATAAACTCAGAGACTAGCTGTTGCAAACCTATTTTTTCAAGTTCGGAAAAAACATTTAAAATATCGGGTAAACATAATCGGTAGAAGTATCATTAAAATGTCAATATACGAACCAAAAAGTTTATAAAGTTTGTTTGAACAATTTGACCATAATTAGTGCAATTTAATATCCATTTTTCTGAACGTTGACGAATAAATTTTTATATCAGTTTCAAAATCACAGGAGTGTATCACTAATTAAAGGTATAAAAGTTAAACATTGGGCTACTGGCTAGCACCAGATTCAAGAGAACTGTAGTATATCATGTTGATATTTTGAGAAAAGTGAGATTTATAATAATTGCTCTGACACTCAAAAACTACCTCTTAGTATATAAAATTTATTCATTTTAGTCCAAGTCGAGAGCTCAGTAAAGCTCGCAACTGCAGAAAATTAATCAAGTTACTCATTTCATACAACGTTAACACTTATATGAAAGAAACGCGAATCATTATCCCGTAATACTAGTCTATTTAAGATGAGAGGTATAAATATCTAACTAATTTTTGGCTGACAAACAATTCGTATACACTATTACTTACTAAGCAAAACATGAGATTTTAATTTGCTTGCACTTGTCAAATTAGATGACCTGATACTGGATGAATTTAAAGCAGCCTGGGGATTCTGTTTGGTGCGATTTCCAGGGACATCATTACTGGTAACTGGACATGAATGGGTAGAATTTAGTGGATGTTGTTGCTTTTTCCATTTGTACTTTTCAAATATTTTAGAGTAATGTTCAGAATACATCATATCTGTCAAAAAGACAAAAAAGACTTTTTCAATCTTCGATGGTATTCAGCGATGAAAGTTTAACATTCAGAACCCTCAGTTCATGGTTCTGTTATAACAAAAAGAACAATCGCTAGTTTGCTATTAAACATGTATATCGTTTGTAGAAAGTGATCACTGAAGCTAGACTATCTTAGTATGCTAACACTAGTAAAGAAGGAAAGGCATTTGGGTTAACTGTTAATGTTACCTTAAATTGACCAAAAATACCTTTTTTGATTGATTTTACAAGCAATTCAACAGCTACTTAAATCTAAGGCCTTATATGATGACTAGTTTTGGTTAAAATAAAATACATACTTTCAACTAACACAAACGAAAGTGTAGCCACACCTTAAATTGGGTTACAGCCAGTGTGTAAACATACTTGATTTCTAAACATGGTTACGCAGCTTATTGGTCCCGATATTTTGAGCTTTATTTCATTTAACCATTTCTATGAAAACGCTTTACTTAAGTTGTGAATGAGCTATGAGTAACGTCTTGAACTTTGTCAAACATTTTGTTAACAGTGTATTTGTTTCGTTCTACGATACATATCCTAACTCCAAATTGGAAATTTGTTAAAGATATTGTAAGTTATTGTAAGATTAGAAATGCTTGTAAAGCGTTAATAAGTAAGACTAGACGGTCATATAAAAAAACAATTGGTTAGGGATTGTAAATATAGTCCTGATCGGAACTCAGAGAAGCGATAGAATTCCGTCACTTTTGATACAAGAAAATCCGTTAATATTAGCAAGAAATGATACCGGAAAAGTTGAAGCTATATTGAAATATGTCGGTAAAGTGTTTTCTATTAGTAATGAGGAACGAACAACGATTTACTGTGGTTATGGAGGCTCGTTTATAGACCCTGCGGTTATTGAGACGTACACTGTATTAAGACTACCTCAGCGTCTCAAACCTGATAAGTTCAGTGGTCCTGATGATATTGATCTTATGATTATAAAATCCCTATCAAATGTAATTGTTGGACCTTTAGCGATACTGTTTGATACATCTCTGCGGTAGTCCGGACTGCCCAGAGACTGTAAAGACGCGATAAATAGTCAGGTGTATAAGGCTGTGAGTAGAGATCTAGTTGGTAACTATCGACCCTTCAGCTTAACTAGTGCAGCTGTAAAACTAATGGAAAAAATATTTGTATAGCTATTATAAACTATATGGAAGGGCATAATCTTTTACCCAGAGAACAAAATGGTTTTCGGAGAGGCCTATCATGTTTGGCAAGTCTTCTTATTGCCGGAGAGGATTGGACCATAGAAAAAGATCAAAACATTCGTGTAATGTGATTTTCACAATTGATTGATCACTTGGTGGTGATCAATGTCATGTATGTCAAGTCACCACCAGTTTAGGTGACTCGACATTGCGTGCACTATGTTGAGGTGGGCTGGTGGTTGGAGGTGATCAACAGAAAACCCTGAACCCGGGTTTCATGCTACTTGGCGCTCGTCAGCAAGGTGTCCCTGTAATCTTGAGGGAACTGGTGCTCCCTAACGGATTCGATCCCGTGTCACCCAGCTTCACGGTCAGAGACGAGTGCCAAGTAGCGCGAAACTCGGGTCCAGGGTTTCCTGCTAACTACCTCCAACCACCATCTAATGTGATTTTCATAGATCTAAGTAAAGCCTTCGATATGGTCTCCCATTCTGGCCTTAAATTAAAACTGGAACGCTTCGGAATCCATTATACAGTCATAGACTGGATAAGTGACTTTCTCCATAACAAGAGGCAAAGGGTCAGGGTAAATGGTGCTTTCTCATCGTGGGGACCTATAAAAAGCGGAGTTTCCCAACGCACAATCCTCCAGCCTCTTCTCTTTTTACGCTATGTAAGTAAATTACCAACTGTATCAAAATCATCCGTTCTACTCTTCATCGAAGACATAAAGATTTAAAGATCCATACACAGTATGTCAGATATATTAGTATTACAGGATGATCTCAGCTCATTGGTGACATGGATGAACAGGTGGTCATTAGAAGTGAATCCTAACAACAGTGTGGTGATGCAATTAAATAACTATTATGATTAGTATCACTACACAATATCTGGAATCGTGTTACCCAAAGTAAGACTATAAAGATTTAGGAGTCATACTATGCAGTGATCTCAAAGCTACGATTCACTGTAAGGTTGCTGCTGCAAAAGGCTATGGAGTGTTATGGTCTATTTGTAGGTCTTTCCACTATTTGGATGATGAAATGTTTAGACTATTATACCCGACTTCCGTGTGACCACATTTGGAATATGAGATTCAAGCAGCGAGTCCTTGTTTCAAGTAGGAGGTGGATATACTGGAGTGAGACCAACAACGAGGGACTGAGGTGGTAAAAGGTCTATCTGGCCTATCTTATGAAGACAGACTAAGACGCCTCAACTTATTTCCGTTATCTTACCGTAGAATACCAGGTGATCTAATATTGGCTTATTGTATACTGAACGATGACCTTGATATTATTATGTCTTATCTTTTCTTTCAGTCTAGGACTAATCATTTGAAAAAACATCCAAAGAAAGTTCAGAAACTGAGATCAAATCATTTACGTTTGGAGTTTTTTTCTCGGATCGAGTGGTGAATTACTGAAATTCTTTGACGGAACACGTGATATCAGCACCTTCAGTTGATTGAAACTTCACAGTGTTGAAAACTCCAAGGATTAATATACGTCGATAGGCCTTCTATCTTTATTACTGAAAACTGAAGACTAATTGATTTCTCACAGAAATCTGTTGGATTATAAACTGACTTGAAATCAACACTCAACAACGAATGATTTAAGGAAATAGACTACACAAGAATGAATATCTCCGAGATACAAAAGTATAGACCTATTGCTTAAAAACGGAAAAAATAGGTGGAAATCAAGGGAATTGATTAACAAAAGGTGGAGCGATTTATGTGAATAATAAAAAACCAATTAGTCGTACATATCTCCACACACTTAGAGAATCATTTTCACGGAAAAGATGTAATGCTATTGTTGGTTTCAAGATATGGACATATGTACATTATAAACAGTGTCAATAACCGCTTAAAAGTCAATATGCCTATGTGTATCCTGACTAAGTGAAGTGTAAATTGGGCATTGTTTACATACTTCTGGAGGATGTTTATATCCGTGTATCCTATTGATACGAATCATGACCAAGACTCGTAAGAGTGACGGGAAATTGATAAATGCAATAAAAATATTTTAGCCAAACTGAGTACGTCAATACATCAATTGAAATTTATGAAGAAGACACAATAAAAAATAGTCTCTCTTGACTTTGCTCTTCCAAGTTGCTCAATTCCAAACGTCCATTTAGTGCAAAACCGATTCTGTTCAAATCATTTCAACTGGCCTGGCCACAAATTAGAGCTAAGTATGTAATATATCTGTTCTGGTGAAAAAAAATCACTTAAGTGATGGGAACAATTGTTTCCATTCAACACAGTTCCACGGATATATACGTATATAATCTATGGAATACTTCTACAATGAAATATTAAAAACAATTCCATATTTTTCGGCTCATGTCTCAGTGTATTAGCAAATTCATAACATAATCGATAGTATTTCACCCAGCTTTAAATTATACAAGATCAAAACACGAAAACAAGTAACAATCCTAAAATGTGGGATTTAAATTTCAATGTTCAAAATCTGTATTCAGTATGGATCATGAACTTTCTCAATAGGTCAAGCCAACTGTCAATTCTTTCTAGTTTGTAATCGATATCAACTAAATAGCCTAAACCAATAAGCATTTTTAATTTGTGTTCTAATATTAGAAAAGTCTAGACAAATCAAATATTGATTAGTAATCGATGGACTGACTGTAAAGGAGCACTGAAAGTTATCTCGCTCATTGGCATCGGTCCTTTGCGTGCCTTCAAAGTGATCTTTACAAATACAGTCCAATCCGTGATCAAAGTAACATATTTCTAGTCAATCAACCAGAAATTTCCAAGGCCAGTTCTTTTATGATCGCCTTCAGCTTTGTCATAAATTAATATGAGGGCAATAAGGTCTGAAAACTATATGCAAATATCGCCTGAAAGAACAAGGCATCAGTTTATTCTTAAGATAGAAGTATATGAATTCCACACTTTCTGACAGGCAGAAATTTAATTTAATCTATACTATCTAAATACTTTATCATGGCCTATGATGACCCAGAGATGCAAAGGTAATTGCGTTAACTCCTTAAACTGAACACCAGAGGAATATATAGTGTTTATGACTCATCAATTGGAGCAAACTTGGATTCAAGTGTATGTTATTTTTGAGATAAATCTGTCAGCCTTCCTTTATTCTTGTGTGGTTACCATCCTTAGAGAACTCTATTATCTGGAGCAACACAAGCTCGACTGTTCACAAATACGAGAAAATAATTTGGATCACAATAGTTTCTAGAATCTTTATCAAGTATGAGATAAATGTTTATGATTCTAACAGATGTCGGCCTCACAGCATCGCAAATTGACTAAAGTTGGGAATATAAATCACTCTACCCCAACTTCGTTATCTAGATATTTAGCGCATCTCGGGGTAATTGAATTCTATCCATGAGCGGTTTCAAATACGCAGGGACAGTCAAGGCGTTAAGCCGAAGGTTTTCACGCACATGTAACACATTTTCGAGGATTTGGAAATATCATTATTTATCAGGTATTAACAGATTTTTCCGTCCCACTTGAGTTTCGAAATGTTTGTGCTTGTCACATGGCATTTATTTCACTTTATTAGTATTTTGACATAGTTGTTGCTGACAGTCTGTGTGAATGTTTAGTAAGCTTAATGTGGTCATTTGTAACATTGCAAAGTCAGGCTAGTGAAATTCACCATTTACCAAGTCAAAAATAGACTGAAATCAAATTTTTAAGCGAAAATGAGTTCTGAAACCAGTTACATTTCGTTCAGTCCTCAGTAATAGGGTCAGTAGTTTGTTGAACCTGTGTTAATCCTGACAGATTGTCTTCCAGTGAAGATCCAGCTTATTCTTGAAAATATTTGCTGATGGGGCTAATACTACTTGTTCGGGTAAGGCGATACAGTCGTTGAATACGCGATGGGAAAAACGGGACCTCACTTTAAGTTTATTAGGTCGTGGTTCGTGAACCTTCTTGCTATGACCTCGGAGATTAGTATTGCTGGAAAGAGCAAAAATATAGGACATATTAACATCCAAATCATAATGAAAGATTCGAAATGCCAGTGTAAGGTCACCCTGTGTCCTATGACAAGATAAGGGGAAACGTTTTAGGTGTTTTGAGCGCTCATCGTAAGAGAGGTTAGAAAGACCCTTCACTAACTTTGTTCTCACACGCTGAACACGCCCAGGCGAGTTAGTATCCTTTATCAGGCATGGACTAGCTGCTTGGATACATTGCTAAAAGTGTGGTCTTACACAAGTGGGGTATAAAATTCGGAACATTGCTCGGCGAAGTGACCATAACGCATGAAAAACTTTGACAGCAGCTGCGTTGCAATGCGTAGTTGTTTTCAAGTCATAACTTATTATTACTCCTAAGTCTCTATGTTCTTGAACGCGTGGAAGAGATGTACCATCAATAGTATAATTGTAACTATTACCGTGTCCGATGTGCATCAGCACACTCTTCCTAGAATTGATTTCTAAGCCTCAACCTCGAACCCACTCGACTAATTTATCTAAGTCAGCTTGGGTATCCAAATGATCAGCCTCACTTCTTATTGTTCGCTAGATTTTCACATCATCCGCAAACAATAATGTTGACGACTTAAGCGGAAGTGGTAATTCATTAACGTAGAGAAGGAAAAGTAGAGGGCCTAAAATGATGCCTTGTGGTACATCACTTAACCGGCTTCCATTCGGACAGCGTTTCATTGACCCTTACTTTCTGTCTCCGATCACACAAAAAGTTTCCTATCCATTCCTGTACGGCACCTATTATTCCGATCCCCGAGAGCTTCTGCACAAGACCTAAGTGTGAAACCTTGTCAAATGCCTTGCTGAAATCTATGTACCGACCAAACAACCAATAGTCGGTTGGAACAACGGACTGACGAACCCAAAATTTATTCGATTAGACCGGACCACGTTCCTCTGTGTAGCCCACAACGCGTTTTTGGGATACTCGTATTATATCAAAACACAAACTCTGTGTTCAATATAAACAGTTCTAATTTAGAAAACAGAACAAATTATATCAAAAGTACATTTTCCTCAAACGGTACAGCCTGTGCTATACAGTCAGAAGTTTCTCTAACGCAAAGTAACGCACTAAACAATGAAGGAAACGGTTAGTACCAAAGGGTTCGATACTTGAGAATCAATAAAAATATTCCCAACAAGATGGGATCGAATATCTATCCACAGGGATTCTAGCAATCCTCCCAAGCAGACAATCAAAACGTTAACAGTCACAAACTGAACCACGCCATGACCTTGAGGTAACAAAAGATAAGTCTTTAATCAAAATCACATAATAAAGGCTCAAACAAGGAAGACTGAAGAATAGAAAATGTGGTTAAACGAGATCTGAACAAAGGTTAAAATACACAACAGGGAGAAGCAACAAATAAGTGACAATACTGTTCAGCAAAGAAGCTGTAGAGGGATTTTCGCCGTTCTCTTTCCGTTACAATCCATGAATATCATATCGATAAACAGACCGTTATCTGGGGCTGCTGTCCAATCCTCTCTCGCAATAAGTTAGCCAAGCATGAACGCTTGTTACGAAACCCATGCTGCTCGGGAGTTAACAGGTTGTGTGAATCTATGGCAACTAATACAATCCATGAACTACTACAAGGATGATTGTGAGTCATGTTGTATGATTTTATGACATATTCTTGATCTTCCAATCTTATACGGAACCTGGATTGGTAGTTTACGAAATCAGACCTTAAACGTCACATATTAAAATTCTCACAGTTTTTGATCCATTGTCAGAACAGATTTACGCCTATGACCGAATGTGCTGTGAAACGTCACAAACAGGTATTTGGACCTGGGTAGTTCCTTCTCAGACTACCCATAACCATTACATTCACGCAGAAAGTAAACTGCTGAAGGATGTGAGATTTAAATACTTGTTTACGGTGTTTCATTGCACGTATGGTCGTAAACGTAGACCCGAAGGTCTGTCAGTGAATCAAGAACCGTGAGAATTTTAGTATGTGACATTTAAGGTTTAAGTTTGTAAACCCCCAATCCAGGTTCCGTATAAGATTGGAAGATCAAGAACATGTCACAAAATCATACATGACTCACAATCATCCTTGTAGTAGTTCACGAATGGTTTGTGACCCATGGACCAGGAGATTGTCGTCAGAATATGAAAATGGCGACTGGTTGTTCATGGTTGACTGTGGAAAGCATTATGAAGTGGATATAAGCACTTGTGAGTGCGATTGTAGAATATTTGTTACGTGCCGATATCCTTGCCGCCATATGCTACTGGCATATGTGAAAAGACGAACTCTTACAACTTAAGCATAAGCAATTAAGAAACATAAATTGTATTGTCCATGAACTTCTTGAGCATTGCAGTAGATGGAAGTTAAATAATACGCACAACTTACAAAATAACACAACAGTCATTACTCAGACGGAGTGAAGAATATATATACGGACTCGACGACGCTAAAGAATGTACAGAAAACACATTCAGAAATATGGTGAACGATTCGCGATGCAAGTCGAGAGAAAAGTCAACCACCTTTACTTTGGAATTAGCAATAACTGGACAAGACGGCAATTTCTCAAACGCTCATCACTAATGCGGTTCGCAATCTAACAAAGTGAGAAGACGTTTGCGACAAAAGGTTCTTTGCTGTTTTATTTTTGACTTCACTATATATACAACTTGTAAACTTATTTTTCTGCTTCAGTAGTAGCGATGAATCAATAAACTTTTGAACAATTTTAATTTCCTTCTTCGTACTTTCATGGGGAGTTATACCAATAATGTCAACAAGTAACTGTTTGTGAGGATTATAAACAAATAAGTATTCGCTTTATCAGTACTGTATATCACTGAATAAAAATCAGACCTTTGTGTCTTTATTTATGATCTATACAATTCATCTGTAATGTGAAATAGTAACCCAGTTATTAGGTTTCTTTATTTTCATTAGAAATGTCTTGTTGTGGTATACCAGTTGATGAACAAGTAGGACTAGTCGTAGTCGTAGAAGTGCCAATGTTGTTGCTGAACGTTGTAGCCGATGAAGCTGTGTTAGTGTTCTCCATATTCAAAATAAGTCTATGAAGAGTGGTCGCTTCCCGAGCCTTAGTAAATTCTAAACAAAAAGTCCTCACTTCGATTAAGATGTCCTGAAAAGTAAGAATACAAAGTAAGTATACCGAAAGCCAATTATTTGTGAATCAAATGTAAATCCAGTTACACTGTTGCGACTGGCTTAGAAATTCAACAAAACTTTTTTCAACGTAAAGAGACTGACTTAATTTGATGTCTACAAAACTAACGATGACAATCCACGGATATAATGAGACCTATATTGTTTTAAATTCTGATAAAGTCTAATGTTATTTAGATATATGACCATTTTTACATTGAAAGCCGCTCAATGAATTGTGTTAGTCACCTAGAACCCAGTTTGTAAACGTAGTTTGATTCGAATTTATCAGATATAGTGTAATTAGCTCACAGTTTACCTTTTTGATGTGTGACAGTATTAGGTCCCGTGAATTTTTCGAAACACCGACAAATACGACAAATCATCTCAGAACTTTCATTTTATTCCATCTTGAATTAAGCTACTAAATACGATTGATTTAAGGTATTTGACCGTGCGGCATCATAGGGTCGACAACATGAAACCAACAGCTTGGCATAAAAATTTTTGTTAACATAAGATAATTAGCTTTTTCCTTTCATTTCTTGACGTGAAACCGAATGCTGTAGACTAACTACTCACAACCAATGTTTTAATTTTAATCCCACAACCAATATTTCACACAATGTGAAATGTATTTGTCATAAGTATACATGTAAGTACAAAATAAAGACAAATCGATGGGATAAGAATGACTTTAGGAAACTGGATAATCAAGTTTAGTGATACAGTAGTTTTAGAACATTCACGGATAAAATGCATAATCCAAACCTCTTAACGTAATTCACTTAGTACCATAACCTCAGACATACTGTCGTTTACATATAAGTAGATATTGATGAAGACTCGATTACTTCTCAGTATCATGTAACATTAGAATCAGCACAAAATATCCGTTTGTCTGAAAAAACAATCCAATTCCTTTATCGCATAAAACATCAGTCACTAATGAACACCAAAATATCACCTTCATTACTTTCCATTAAATAAATATGAATATTTGACATAACTGAATTTAATTCGATTTCATTATAAATTAACAACAATTAGAAAACAAACAGAAACTTTACCTGATTATGAATATCCAATATGTTATTCCTGATAAGTGATTGAAGTAGTACACATACTAAACGAACATGTCTCATCTGATAAAATTTGTCATTTACTGAATAACAAAATGCTAAACAATTCGATATATAATCTTGTATAAACTCTGTAGGTAATGCAATTTTTGTAGATAGTCGATTTACCACTTCAATTGATTGTACAGTAACTTCCATTTTTAGCAGAGCATTTAAGTACCTTTATTTATTTTCAATAGAAAAATTACAACAATCATTTGCAATCAAAATGAAGAGGTTTATGTTCTACCCAAATTTAATCAGTCAAGAAACAGAAAAAAAGATTCACAAAACAAATAGTAACATTAACAGAGAACAGTTAAAATGAGTGATAGTGTGATCTATAGATATTGATATTGTATTATTATCCCAACAAAGTTATATTACCAGGAATAAGTTCACAGGGTTTCTCAACAAACGTATAAAGACGAAAAAACTTATACGGAATACACAAGGCATTACTTACATAATCACTTAGTTGAATTGAAAGGATAAGGAAAAGTGCGTCGTGAACACAGTTCACACATCTTTCAATTGTATAACTTCTAGATGACGAACAATAACTAAACCGTATATTTAACAATTACACTATAATAAGCATCGAAAAGATGAAAAGCTACAACCATATCAGTGAGTTATGACTTAGTGTGTTCAGATGGTTGACATGGTAGCTTTATGGTAATCTCCAGATGTGCGAATGTCTTCACGCAGATATTTAAGCAACGCAAAGGCAAAAGTAAGGGTAGAAAGAAATTATTTAGAAAAGTTTTAGTTATTCAGTGTATGATACTATATCAAGTCCTTAAGAGAGGCTAAACATATCAAATAAACTGATGGTTTCGCATGATGTATCATCACTTTTTACTAATACCCCTCATTGGAAGAAACGATTGGCGCCATTACAAAACATTTATAGCTTATATCCATACCATAAATATAGCTCAAACAGTTGTCACGACTATGTACTAAGAATGTCTAGTTCAAATTAAACAATAAATTATACTGTCAAGTAGACGAAGTGATAATGGGCAATCCTTTGGCACCTGTTCTTGCCAACATATATGTTGCGAATTCGGAAAGAACAAAATTACTTACTGTCAACAACAACAATGCACAGTGTGCAAGGTACGTCGACGATACTTTTGTTTTATGCAACGACGTAAATTACGCAAACAAAATACTTGAATTTTTTTAAGAAAATTCATACTAATATTAGACTTGAAGTTGAAGATTAAATAAATAGTGCGTTCCATTTCCTCGACTTAGATATTTCCAGAAATGACGGAACTTTTCAAAAGCATGTACGTTGAAAAGCAATCTAGAGTGAGCAACACCTAAACTCTAACAGCTTAGACCCTATTGAATATAAATATGAGTTGGTGAGAACGTTTTACCACACAGCCAAAAAGTCACCCTCACCAAAAAAATTCGAGAGGGAGTATACAATAAAAACATTGTCTGTAAGAGGATGGATACCTTCAATCAAATTATAATTAACTATAGAACTGATTACCGAAGTAAGATGGACGAATATACACCTACTAAGAATGATATTATTTGACCGTCACTGAAAGGTGATCGAATAACGGATAAAGATAATCAAGGACTAAAAGCAGCTTTAAAAATCACGTTCCGTACAGCGAAATTGACTCCACTAAACAGCAAACTATGTTAAATAATACAAAAAAATGACAAATATCCATCATGTGTTACTTCAAACTGAATAAAATCATTCATATGTGCATGCAAAAGCCCGTATATAAGAAGGATAGGAAGACGGGTTTCTACTCGTTTTAATCAGTATGTTCCAAAGAATCTGTGAGTTCGGGTAGAAGGTTGCTTACGATGTTTAATAGCACGCCAACCACTTGGCACGGGGTACAATGTGGATTTAATGAATTATTAATAAACAATCTAATTCTACACTTTCGAAATTTGCAGGTCATAGAAATTAGAAGATTTATATCTGATCTTTATATTTCAAAAGAGTCAGTCTTTTAACCTCCAACTGTCATAGTAATACTTTGACCCTTTTCTCAACTAATTATAATCATAATCTATTGAGTTGACCTTACACGTCTAGTTTTCCTTTCTAAACTTAAAAAAAAACATATCAACCAGTAAAAATTATCTTAACATTCCAGAAGTATTATGTTAAGTTATGGAAAGATGCCAGTTTTAAGACTTTAACTCTACAGTTCTTTCACATTAAACACAAATTACTATTGATTGACAATCCAGTTTTATTGTTATGTTATCAACTGGGAATAATTAAACATACTAGCCTGTATGTAAGCTGAAGGGAGTTTGATCAGTTTAAATCCTCAACACAAACAAAGAGTAAATACAAGCCATTATATATTCAACCGTTGAATTAAGTTCCTTGAACAACAAAGTCAAGAAAATATAGGCTAAGGAAATTGCCAAAAAAACAACAGTTCTTGTGATCATAAGACATTTTCCCCAATTAACACACTAATTAACAACGGACTATGAAGAGAAGGATATCAAAATAGAATTATAAGAATTACGAACATAAAAATCGAATAAGAAACACTAAACAAATAGGGGAATTACAATTGAACACACACGCACAAACGAACAAATCATAAAGGACTTACTCATCTCGTTTCGGTGATGTAATCAACAATTGTAAAACTTCAATAGCGATAACTGGGTTACGGTTAACGAAATTCGGTACCTTTAAAGATTCAGTGGTTTTATGGCCCAGTGGAAAAATAACGAAGAACAAGCAACAATATTAAAATCATATGATTATAAAACTATTCATTAAATCAATGAAGTTTGTACGCTAAGACTTCAAGAGCATCCCTACCAGCCATACCCGTCATAGAGAATTAAAGATACAGAACGTAATACAATTACATCTAGTAAAGTTGAATGGTGGCTAACAATAAAATTCAGGATGGGAATTTTATCCTATTTGAAACTAGTCAACTGGGTGAGGCCTACATCTCAGTGTTGATATTCACAACGAGACTCAAACGCAATAAATGATCCCTTAAACAACGTGTTGTCTATTTAGTGATTTTCACAAAATCCACTCAGAACGTGTTAGGGATGCTAGATCTCCAGAAATCACTTGATAAACATCTTATTTTTGCAATTTTATTTTGGAAATTTGAATTTCCCGTTTCCGCACCAAAGCGCCCATTTTTACCTTCAGATTGTATTTCTCACTTGAAAGGACTTTAAATGTCATTGGTTCGTTTCCTCTTCTAATACGCTATTTTATGACGTTTCTCAAGGACTTTTTAATACTGTATATATACACGCTTGAGTTGCGTGCTTAGTTCGTTTGTGCTTAAGACTGCTTGTGGAATATACTTTCCCTCAGCTGAACCTGGTCTTCTCCACCCGGTTAGCAGGGCTGGGAGGCGATTTCAAAGTAAATATACATGTCGCTCATTTTATTTTAATAAAAAAGTTTACCTAGCAAAATATTTTCTATTGTTTAGATATCAAATATCAATAATGGATAGATAATGGCTATACATGGTAGGAAAAAATAAATCAGTACAATGTATATAAAATATATGAAGTACGTCCAACTATTATTATATGTGTCTAACTGAATTATTCATTTATCCCTATCGATAAATATGTTCATTTAAACTAATAAGCAAATGTAACAAATCTTAGGAATAAATTTATATCTTTGTCGCAATTACCGTTAACAGTTAAGTAAACACAGTTGTCATACTTTATTTTTGCAAATTATGGATGTTACTTGATTATTTAGAACAGTCAAAATAGTGAAATTCGGAATAACAACAGAGTAATAGTTGAAAGTCAACAGATTAAACCATTAAATATTTTAACCTGAGAAACTCGAACTGTGATAAACACGAGTATACTCTCTATTGGTCATTTGAAAACTAAGTTAAATATACAATCAATCAACTCTAGGTAGTAGAAAATATAGATTAGTATGATAAACTTACAATCTCTGGAGTGATACCAACATTATAAATAACATCTGGATTATCCTTAATTGCTTGAACAACAGTTTGTTGCTGCGACTGGGTTAAAGTGGATGTCATGGCTGCGGAAACCAAATGACGAAGCTAATGTTAAAAGACAAGAAACATAGTTTACGAAGATTATAAAATACAAATATCAGAAATACATATATTTGATATTAACCGCTTGATAAAGTACAGTTTACAACGAAGCAGACTAATTTCGATAAGATCACTATTTTATGAAGTTACAAGTGTGTAGGCCGTTAGTTTTGTGTAATTGAAATGAGTGATCTCGTGTGACCGATAATACTATTTGAATCCAGTATATATATATCATGGATCATTACATGGAAATATTCGAAATGTGTAAAAGGGTATAATCTGAGACTGACGTCTATAAATCATCAATAAATCACACAGAAGCTATACAGAGTATAGTATTTGGTCAAGTAAACAATCCTTCAGTATGAGGAGTATTATTAGACGCCTGAGAAATGACTACAATCAACAGTTATATGTTTTACTACAATCGCTATCGTAAATGTTTTGCAGTAAAATGCTCTACTACAAAAGTGGTTTTTCAACCTGAGCAGAAAAGAAATTTTAACCACTATATATATATATATATATATATATATATATATATATATATATATATATATCCTAAACTTTGAAAACCAACCATCATTGTGTGAACGCATACGTAATAAAATTCATGTATACTACTACTTTAAATAACTGAAGTTAGTAGGTTATGAAGCCAATCATGCGAAAAATCAAAAATTACTGTTTCAGACTCCTTCATATAAAGAATTATTTCCTTTATCTAAGTCTGAAATTTCGCGATCTACATAACAGTCTGTAAACCAATATCTCAGATTATATCTAACTATCAATCACAAATGGTATCAGCGCTTTAGAAATTATAGTCCATCTTCTGATTTCACAGATATCAATGCTATCACAGAGGACTCATCCAGTTATCTTTAGACTTCTTAGATTTCACTATAACTTGTTACCAGTAAACTCAAATGTAAGTATTGAAATAAATGCATCTGAGAATTTTAGTGATTCACAAGGTCTACTATCTTATTTTAATATCACCAAAAAAACTTGATAAATCAAATCCCGGAAAAAGCCCTGAAAGTCTGAGAAAAATCTGTGTGAAAGTTATTATATGAAAACTGGTGAAAGCACCGTTTTAGCAGATTACCCAAATTATCATACTTGGATGAAAAGTACTCATATACATTTAACAAAAATTAATCCATTAACTAATTGGCAAAAAAAATGCTAAGTTGTATAAAAATGTTAACTAAAAATTCACCTCAACTGTTATATCAACAAGTTCCATACTGTTATTCCAATGGAAATCGTGCTCAACAATGTCTGGATTAAGCCAAATAAGTTCTTCTGACCAGCCATAAGTGGGTTTAGACTTCTTGATAGATTTTTTCTCTGAAGGACTAAAGTTGGAAACTGTATGACTGATGGATTCATTTTCTTCATCTAAACTGTATAAAATCTGATCAATTCCTTGGGGGCATGGTAACAAAGGTGGGGAAATACGAAGAAACTCTGGGAAGACATTATTGCGACCTATTAACAGTTCACTACGTAACAAAAGAGAATCTAAACATTGACGTTGTAATTCAGATGTACCACATGAATCATCCGTGTTATGTAAGTGAAATGATGGCCTACAATAAAAATATAACATGAAATTCAGAGAATTCTTCTAAGTTAATTTATTACCAAGTTATACATTTATGTATATAGTGACGGCAATATCAGAAGTACAGGCCAAGTTATTTTTATGTAATTTCTGTTATCAGGTTATTGTTGAACCGGCATCTAAAATACATTCACTGGTTAAAAGAAATATAAAACATTACATCATTATGAAGTCTGAGTTTGTAAATATCACTCAAATTACCACAGAAGTGAGTTTTTTCAAGTTTCAAAAGGGGGGTTTGGAATACTAGAGCAAATAAACTTACTCAAAAGAACGTGGAATATCTTCGTCAGGAATAATACAAACCATTCCAGAGTCAGCGAACTTCGAAACACGACCAGATGATTTCAGTGAATTGGCTACTGGAACCAGATCCCAATCAAGCTACATTGAATGACAAGGAATACAATAGAGATATAATGCTTTCCTAAAAAACTTCCATTAAAAAATAGACAGCAAAACAGATACATATTCACACTCACTCTAATGTCAGTCGAAGGATACGGTAAATCAAATATCTGTGCTGGAGTATACTTTAGAAACTGTTCGTAAAAAGGATAAATTTTGAAGCGTATTAATAAAACACACTGCCACATACATCATGAATTTGATCGGGTTGACGAAGAATTGTATGAAACATTGAAATTGCAGATCGCGGCAACTTGCAATGCACTTCATTCTGCTAGAATTTTGTACACAATTAAGGAATAGATATGTGAAACAAACTAACCAAAAATGAAATTAAAAACTCTGTGAATGGATTGTTATTGATGGAAGAGTTATCTGATTTCCACAAGTCCCACAATAAATAAACAGCTGCAAAATGAATTATTGCATCATGAAGGAAGTCATTTTGAAGGAGAAACATCTAAAAAGAGCAAAAAATTAATACTCAAAGTATATTAACTAACTAAAACACGGCATAGTTTATATCGGTCTGATTTAGCGAATTGCTGTTGCGCTGCACTACTAATACCTTGTAGTGTTTGACAAGAAATCCGATCGGGATGAAGAAAGCTATCAAAGCAAGGAAAAGAAACAATACTTTAAATGTTTTTATCAATTTTTGTTATTCTCATTTTCCGAAAATAAAGATTTGCTCTAGTAGGGACAACGAAATATGTACTACATGAAGTGATGCGATGACATTTGAAAGGATGAGTCCGATAAGAAATCTGTTGATTGCATAGAGAAAAGGATAAAGTTTTTTGAAGGAAAAATGATACCTTAGAGTTTGTTATAATATTCAAGTAGGTAAGAAAAAAGAATCACCGAATAGAAATTAGTAACTTTCGTTCCGTGACATTTAACAATGAGTAGAGCAGCTTCGTGTCACATGGTGTTTTAAAAAAATATTTACGGTTATGTGGCACAAAAATGTATACCAAAACATCACGAATAACCTTTAATTGATATAGCTGGGTTTCGCTGTTTATAATGTACTAAAGACTATGCTTGCAATAATATTAATCCCTTGTCGATGGCTAAACCTCTTGGTGAATCAAACGAATCTCAGACGAAACCGCATATGTAAGTTATTAAACTCTACAACATCATACAAAGGGAAAACAGACAGAAACAAGGAAACATGGGGACAAAGCAGGACATTTGTTGCAAATGAAAGATAAACAGGTAGAAGGATGACCACAAGCTAGTGAAGGATAAAGAAGAAATATCGATCTAGTTCAAATTTGACGTCCGTCAGTAAAGAAAACAATAAGTGTAAGTTTCAGTTCCATTAATTCTGCTTTATCCTTGTGAAACAGACTCTTCGAGTTAAGGATTCTAAGGAAACGTAATGCAAATAAAAATGAAACCTCTCGTCAATTTACTATTCAGACATCTATGCTGAATCTTTTTGTCGACATTATAACTTTGTTTCATTACGGAAAATATATATGGTGGTCTAAAAACATGAGTTTATTTGACCAGAATCAGCATCTAAATCTAAGCCCCCAAATGCCCTGGTATGACCGAGGGTGGGTGGGCCCCCCTCCCTGTGGAAATGCTCTCACACGGCCACGCGTATACAACCTCTGCCAAGGAAGTCCTACTCACTGCCTTCTCGTGGCGGAAGTGTTGTTTACGAAATTCAGAGGACGAAAAGCGAATGTCCGGTGCTTTAACCGGATTCCAAACCAACGGTGCACATGGGCTCCAGTATCCTGAAGGAACAAATGGTGTATGAACCAATCGTTGGTCACCGGCAACCATGGGACTGCATCTCCTCGCGATGCTCTACTGCCTTGTGGGTCAGACCTTTAGGTCGATGGCTCCGGGTGTGGCCCCTTAAGAAAACCACCTGCTTCGGTCTGGGCACCTGGGCAGTATCCCAACCCTCACACAAATAAAATGGTTTATGTGGCGCATATGTATTTGGTGCCTCCTTGTACCAATGTTTGTGTTTAAATAAATAAATAAATGATAAGTCCAAATCTAAAAGTTTAAGCTATTGATTTACACAAATATAAGACTTACTTTGATAATGCAATCACGTCCTTGTTGCTGATTGACATTCAAAAATATTCCATTCAATAACCGGGTCTAATTTTTCTTTAAAATAAAGTAAAATTCTTAACGTCGAAACAAGAAACAGAGACAAGCATCACTTACATCACATATTTCATACGATGCAGTGCAGAAAGATACGATTAGGTCCTTTTTATGTGACATTACTTTATTTGGGTACGTTCTTAAGTTCTGAAGCCACGAACTAATCCTTGGACAACCCCTACTGGTCATTACAGAGTGGAAGAAGGCCAAATAAATACAAACCCACATTGTTCATCAAGACACAAACAACCACAGATTTCTTCGTACCCAACTTTTAAAAATAGCTGAAGCTCTTACCATCCAGGAGCTTAAACCAGAACTATGCGTACAAAAGAAGTACGTCTTATCGTTATCGTTACCTTGGCCTTAATTAATTTGATTATCCTACTATTATTGTTATTATTATTATTGCTGCATTCCTCCCTTTACTTATGTCTTATATCCTCATTGTTTTATTCATGAACGCTCATCATATCACTTTATTTTTTTTACACCTCTATGACCTTAATTATTATAACAAAAAGCATTTTAATCATCTTATTATATTCACTAAATCTATTGTTATTATTCGTATTACGTATTCTAGCATTATAACCCTTTTTATTAACTGTGTTCACATTTCCTCACGGAATTAGTACTTTTACAAAAACAAAATTTTCATATATATACGATTGTACAGCTTGATAATAAATTCGTTGAAAAGAGATCCCTTCGCTGAAATTCGTGTTTTAATTTACAGTGAATAATGTTTATTTACCTACTTTCCAAACAGTGATCTGGAGATAAATACCAGTCACACAGTAACTACCAGAAGTTGAGACCCTTTAACCAATGTAAAGAGTTTTCACCCGCCTAGATGTTATTATACTCGTGAAATTGAATGCAGTGCTCATTAGACTGTAACTCAAGCATTCTACACAAACACCCATATCCTGTCCAGAAAATAGTGAACTGCTGTTGTGAATTGAGATTAGATTCGCTATTTTCTGATTACAAACTAGTGGAAGGTTTTTTCAATACACGACGTGATCTATACGAACTGCGTAGGTTGTACGACTGATACAAATAACGCTTCAACAACCGTCCCATAACTGATTGGAAAACAGGAAAGTTTTGTAAGGAAAGGTGTATTGATGAAAAGCGAAGAAAATTAGATTACATCCAGGTTTATTCAATTATGTATCGACTACTTAATGAATATTTATCATAAAGTTTATTAAACTGAGTAGTCATCACTTCTCACAAAATCACAGTGGTCCAGAATACAATAAAGACAAATTAAAACCAATTGACTAATATCATACTGAATATATGATTTTAAAATTCATTTATTTCTGTGACAGTTGGAGACTCATCACCCCCAAGAGCTATTAGAAAACGTTTGTTTCTGGGATTTTAAAGCGGTCGTATAATGAGACTGGGTTAACTAAACTTGTTTATTTTATCGAAGGACTAGATAAGAACTAGTTATAGTTCTGAAGTCACTGAACAATATCTTAGCATTCGACAGATGCTATTTGATCACAGGTATCTTAGGAATGTTGCTCGCATTTGCTGGAATCAGCTGGTAAGTAATAGTGAGGTTAGACGCACAGTATTGGGGAATGATGATAAACCAGTTGATGAGATTGTGAATCTTCATCGACTGAAATGGTTGAGCCACGTGTTACGTATGCCTGAACACCGATTACCACGACGTGCAATGCTGACTAATGCTGGAGATGATTTGAAGAAAGTTAGGGGTGACCAAACCAAAACGTGGCATCAGTCCTTGAAGTCACCAACTTCTGGTCTGAGCCATGTTGGTGGATGCAGACTACTTGGTTGGGGTCCGCACGACTATCGTAACCAATGGTTGGAGACTCTGAGTGACATTGCTTAGAATCGATCAAACTGACATAGGTTTATACACTCGTTGTTTTCTCTTAAACCGTGAGATTAGAATTGCTTTATACCTTTCTTTCTACAAACTAATTCTTTCTTCCTTTATTATATCCTTATACGCAATCTTTCTTTTATATATTGCTACCATTGAGTTAACTGCTTCTATGAATTCGGTGTTTATCTTGTTGTGCTAATGAAGTGTGGCAACTTGGACTGATGCATATGTTCCTGGTCCTACGATGTAGATGACTGACTAGCATCTGTCATGTCCTTATTTTACTTGTCATCCAGAACAAAAACCAAATAAGAACACTTTTAAAGAGTTCATAAAAGCAATACTAATTGCTTTTTATCTGCTTACTTACTTTCCCATTGAAGCATTAAGTAAAGCTCTGTCTAAACACATTTTCACAGCCACATTTATCCATGCACTCAGTATCAGTGGTAACAGGAAAGATTAGGTATTGAAGGTGTCATTCGAGACCATATGAATTGGTGAAATGAAGACAAAAAATTTACGAACTCATCTGGAAGAAGACAAAGAATGGACACACTTGTACCATTGCAAATGACTTCGAGCCGTGTCATTGAAAGACCCTAACGACTGGTTACGATCATCACGTGGACCTCAACCAGGCAGTCTAAACCTATTAACATAGCTCAGCCCGATTATTAGTGACTTCATGGACTGATGTCATGTTCTGGTTTGGCAGCGCCCTGCTTCCTCCCAGACTACTCCTACACCAGAAAACACCGACTCTCGAAGTAGGCAGTGTTCGGGGGTACGTATTAACGGCACTTGTTTTATTTGGTCAGTCTGATGTAATTTGCTTAAAAATATTCTTTAAAAAGTGCGACAGCATTTATAATCTCTTGCAGTGCATGTCATCGTAAAGGTTTCCAAAGCATAAGTTATTTAATTTAGGATGTACAATAATCTATTACGTCCTTCAGCGGATATTTTCGAAGGTTGACGTGAGCCAGGCGAACCACTGCTGTTACTTAAAAGATAACATAAATCATGCACCCATAAACGGAGTACTACAACCGAAGAAACTCGATAATTTGCGAACAGTATGACCTACCTTGACCTTGTAGCGTCGAACGACCTTGAAGGGTTAAAAATCAGGAAAGACACTCCACATGGTACAAATGGTTCAAATGGTTATGCACGGAATAACAGAGGCTTTCACTTAACGGGCTTCCGTGTCTGTCAGCAGTGGATCATCGATACTTCCAGGCAGAAACCTAGATATATTAACGATAAAAGAGGAAAAAGAAATTGGTGAATCATAGTAAGATACTATCCTTAGTCCTTAAGAATAGGTCTAGTTTTCTCCTAAAGGACTCCTAGGATGCCGCATTGGTTAGCTCAACCGTCAGTGAATTTCAGTATTTGACAACTCTTAAGGAGTAGAAGTTGTATCTACAATACTTTATGCTGTGTTGTGTTTGTATGTGTCTAAGAGGATGCCTAGAAGTTTTTAGGATGCTGTAAGTCATTAGAAAGTCACCTATGTGACTCTTGTACTTTAGTGAGTAGAGGTCCAGTGATTGGAGGCGCTCTTCATCAGAAATGAATTTGAGTCGTTACTCGCCGTTCGATACGTTCCACAGTGTCCTTGTTCTTTCGGAGTGAGGGAGGAAACACTATGTTTCCATACTCTAAATAGGGTCGAATTAAAATGTTGAAGATTATTTGAAATGTTCTTCCATCGAACCGGCTGGAAATGCTCTTCAACGTTACCAGTGCAATGTTTACTAGAAAAGCTTTTTCGTCGCAGTTAGCGTAAGATTTCAACTCCTAGGGTACCACCACCCTAGATCTTTTTCAGCATGGGATACCTCCGAAGAGGAGTTGCCTAATTTTTGTTCATAGTGTGCAACATGTATCTAATGGATTACTCTACGCTTTGAAGTGTTAAAGGTTAGTCCGTTGTTGTTCGCCCAACTTTGAAATCGAGTTAGATACACCTAAAGTGCCACTTTATCCTCTTGGTTGCATACTTCCTTCCAGAGTTTCTCATCATTAGCAAAAAGCAATAAATCTGACGATAGCTGCCATGGGGGACCGTTCATATAAACCAAGAAAGGAAGAGGTCCTAGTACTGAGCCCTAGTGGATCCCACCAAGACACTCCGTAGACTGAAAGTGAAGTTAGCTCTGACCTTAAAATGCTGATTCTAAGATATGAAGTGAACCAACCAATTAAAGGTGATTTGATACCTAATCGTTTGAGCTTATTTACAAAACATATATTATTAAACCTATCAAAAGGTTTTGAAAAATCAAGATATGTGACGTCAACCTCCCTCTTGCGGTCAAGGACGGTTATCCATCTGTCCACCACGACCAGCAGATTGGTTGTACAAGAATGACCTTTCCTGTAATCGTGCTGTTGAGGTGAAAAGAATTTTGTCGATAGTTATTTTTCGTGTAGACCGTCGGATATCAGGGGACTCTATGATTTTTAAGGGTGTTGAGAGAAGTGCTACCGGTAGGTAGCTTGAAGGTTCTTTGCGTTGACCTCCTTCAAAAATCGGTGTGATGTTGGAACATCACGCTAATCGGTGTCGCCAAGAATGAAGCTGAATCTCTCAGTATAGAAGAGCGGACCATATCAGTACCCGAAGTGTCTTTTTTAGGTGCTGCAGTTTCTGGTACACCAAATCAGC